TTTATTTATTAGTAAACTTCAAAATATACTAGAATAAATAAGTTATAATATTAATATAAAAGCCCTTAAATACTTTATAAAATACTATAAATAATACTAGAAATTCGAATAATTATTAGAATAATTCAAGTTTAATCTAAAAAATAATATTAGCTTTAATTATTCTATTATTAATAATATTTTCTATATTTCTAATAAGCTTATATTTTATATTATTAATAAAGGCATTCGATATTAAGCTAGTTAATAGCTTTAAAATATTATTATCTTATATATTTAAAATACTCTAAAATAATATTAAATTAATATTTATTTAGGCCCTTTTAATTAGATTATAATAGATATTAGAAAGTAGTTTATTAGTAAGAAGTTTATTTAACTTGCAAATATTATAGAAATTAAAATTAAAATTATTTCTATAAAAGCTTATAATTTTATTAGAATTATAAAATATTATTATAGCCCGATTTAATATATTTACCTTATTATTATAACTAAAATTAATAGAATTAATAGAATTAATAAGGATATTATATTCTAAATAGCTTTTAAGGCTATTAATAATTTTATAGAACTTAATAATATTATTCTAATTCTTTTAATTTATAGTACTTTACCCTAAATAACTAAATATAATACCTTATTACTTATTATATTATAGTAATTAGTAGTATTTAGAAAGGTAATAATAGAAATTCAGAAGCTTTAAGCTAGATATTAAATTACAAATGCCCTAAATACCCGAAATAGTTCTAGTATTACTAATATCTATAAACCTTTCCTAAACTCGAATATTCTTATATAATATAAAGAAAATACTAGTTAATCTAGTAATTAGAATAGGCTATATAAGCTAGTAGCCATTAATAGAAAAAACTATATACTAGCCCTATTATATAGTAATACTATTTTTTATTTAACCTTTATAAAGCCCTTTTATATAAGAAATATTAAGGTTGTTATTAATAATTCCGAACCTAAATCTATTCCCGAATTTTATAATAAAGCTAAAAGTAATACAGGTATAATTCCTTCTATTATTCCCGCTATTTTACTAAAGTATAATAGAAAATACTCTTATAAGAACTCGGATATTATAGTATTTCTATAAGATAATAACCTATATAAGAACTCTTATTAAGTTAAAATTACTAGCTTTCTAGAAAAAAAAATATTTAAGATTATTTCTAGATTTTAGATATTAAAGGAAATATATATTTTTAATTCCCGGTTTATTAATAAGATTAAGAATAAAAATATAAAAAGAGAGTTTAAGAAATCGAGACTAGTTATTTAAACTTATAATAATAATAAGAAATATATAATATTAATTTAATTATTTATTATTTAATATATTAGTTAGAGAATTATTCTTATTATTACTATTATAATAATAAATACTACGGAATTATATTTATATAATATCTTATAAACTTATATCTAATTAATAACTTTACTTAATTATAATTTCTGTATTAATCTATTTTATAAGCTTACTAGATAGCTAAATCTAAATAATAATTTAATTCTAAAAGTTATAAAACTATTATATAATATACCGGAAATTAGAAACTATTAGTTTAAAACTTACTATTTCTATTATATTAATAAGCTTTCTATTATGAGACCGGGTCTCTGGGCTTGGAAAGCAAGATAGAGTAACTCTATTCCGAGGATTCTAAACTAAGGAGAGAAGCTCGTAAGTGCGGGAGCTTGGTGTTCTAAATACTACAGCTGCATGCGTCATCGCGTGGTCACGTGACGCTAAATTTACTAGTGAAGCGGCAGAGTGTAACACTTTCTATAAAATAGTTAATTTATAACTCTTGCCTTCTCTATAGTAAATAACTTTTCGGAATTATTAGCTTTTAAACTAATAATACTTTATTTATTAGAACTAATAATTTTATAAAGGCAAAATAGTTAAAGCTCTAAGAAACTAAGTTTTTAGCTAAGAAATATAAATACCTTACTTTTAATTATAATCTCAAGTTTAATAAAGGTATTATTTATACAAATATTACTAGAATTATTTTTATATAGAAATACTAATATAAAAACCTTTAAATTATTTCTATAAAAAATATTATTACTATAAATAATAAAAGTACTATTTATTAAAATCTTTTTATTAAAATCTTTTTATTAAAATCTTTTTATTAAAATCTTTTTATTAAAATCTTTTTATTAAAAACTAATATATTACCTAATATATTAGAAAAACATATATTATATTAGTCTATTAATTAGAAGCTTTATATAATCTATTAATTATTATTTAAGCTATTAAATTCTCGGAAACTAATATAAAGATATTTAATAAGTGCATTTAATAACAAATTAAGAATACTATTAGAGAACTGAAATTTATAAAGCTAGTAAAAAAATTCATATATTTCATTTATAAATAATAGAAATCTCTTTTCCTAAATCGAATATATTCTAGTTCTAGTAAATAAAACTAGATATACTAATATTATTTACTAGTTCTTTACTAAATATAAGAGAATTACTAGAAGTATTTTAGCTTTAGAACTTTATAATATAACTTACGGCTTTAATATAGGCGCTTTAGTTAAATTTACTATTAATAGAATATTAGAAATAGAACTATTACTAGTAATTTATATAAATTCGAAATTATTATATAAATATCTTATTAAATTAGGTACTATTCAAAAGAAATATCTAATAATTAATATAATATACTTTTACTAGATATATAAATAATAAGAGATTATAGAAGTTAAATAAATTAAAAAAGAATTAAATTCTACTAATTCTATAATAAAATCAAAGCTAATAAATACTTTTAAATATCTAATTAATACGAATATAATATAATTAGATATAAAGAAATAGGTTAAATATAAATAGAATAGGAAATAAATATATAAGATAAAAAAATATTATAGAAAGAAAAGTTATATATAAAAGGCTATAGCCTTTAATATATAACTAAAACCTTAAAAAGAAATATAAATATATAGAGTATTTAGGAAATCTGGTACTAGACCGAATTAGGGAATTAATATATAATTAGAAAGAAATATTTTTTTTTCGCGTTTTTAGAGAAGTTCTAGTATTAGTATAGCTATTTCTTCGGGAGTTATATATATAATTACAAAACTCGGAATACGGGATATAGGTAATAAAATATAAATAACGGGATATAAGATACGAGATATAGTTATATAATCTCGTATCTTATAAATAACTCTATTAGTAAATTAGATTCTATTAGATTTAGTAAATTTAGAAATTATATATTAATATTATAATACTATAATTCTTATTTCTAAATAATAACTTTACTAACTTAATATAAATAGTATTTTATACCTATATAATAGTATTATATATTATTAATAAATTAATAATATAATATAATTAAATTACTTTCTTTAAGTTATAAATATATATAAGTATTTTTCTTATCTTTTATTCTAATAATTTAAGTAATTCTTATTAGCTTAATATAAATATAAATACTTTTAAAGATATAATTAATATTTTTTAATATTAAATAAATTTATTTTCTCTTTATTTCTTATTAATTATTAATAGTTTTTTAAGCTAATTTATTTTATATTTTTAAAAGAATTTTAATAATAATAATAATAATTAATAAAACTTTATTTTTAAGTTTATTATTATATTATTATATTATTATATTATTATATTATTATATTATTATATTATTATATTATTATATTATTATATTATTATATTATTATATTATATTATATTATTATATTATTATATTATTATATTATTATATTATTATATTATTATATTATTATATTATTATATTATTATATTATTATATTATTATAAATCTTTTAGGGCTCTTATATATTATATAATTAACTAGTTTTTTATTAGAGAATTAGAAATTAATTAATAAATATAAAGCTTTTATATATAAGAAAGTTTAACTCTAATGCTTTTCAAGTTACGAATTTGAGGCAAGAGTTTATTATAAGCCCTTATAACTTCAGGTAATACTCTTTAAATTCACGTAAAGAGGCGCTATGAGATATTCGCAAGGGATAAGTAAATCTCCTAGGGTTATAGTACTATTAGTAGAGTAATTATGTGCTTAAACGTTAAACGAGTAGCTATTATAAGCCTCTTTAGCAATAACTCCCTTGTAAGTATAGGGGAGAGGCCCTCAAAAAGGCATGGTAGCCCTTGTTAAAGGCGCATAGGCTACTTTTAGGGGAAGAGCCTGAAAATATAGGGCATTATAGCGAGTTTGCTACCTTGATCTGTACGCTAGAGGGTCTACAAGTCTCCTAATGCCCTGTATTGCCGATCTTTATGCCCCGATCTCGTAAGCATGCCACACGAAAAATATCACATGCCATCGATTCACAGTCCTGCTTGCTCTGCAAGATTTGATTACTAGTTTATGGATCCACCGTTATCAAATCAACTGCTCATTGACGAAGTCATCCCACCTTTGATTGCTGGTGTTGCCAGCCAAGGACACCAGCACCTGCCAAATGCTACATAAAGTAACGCATTGACCTCCACTTCGAGTCTTCGACACTCGAGATCAGCAACAAACCACCGGACCACTCTCTCGATCCTAGCTCTTCTCTATATTTATCTCTTCTTCCGCAACCCATATCACGGCTAAATCGAATTTACCCTGCTTTATTTCTACACTTCCCTTATCGTCGCTCTTGATATGTTTTGACTGATGTTCAAATTGGCTTTCGCGGCTTCAGATGTCGTCATTGTTTCTGTCAGCATGAAGAAGTCTTATTAGCGTTGAAGGTATTGGTCCTATAGCTCTTATCATAGTTTTGGCCATGATAGTCAAGCCAGACTGGTGGAGGCAGGGCAGCGGCTACTTCATAAAGCCAGCAAATCCACCCCTTTCAGCCGCGGATTCGAATTCGAAATATCGTTCTGCGCCAGAACAATTTTCGGGGGGTACAGGATACAGCATCTCCCCATACACTGGGGTCGTTTCAACCAATTGGCTGACTATGACATTGAAAGCTGCAGCTTTCCTCGCCTTGTTGTCCTTCAGCACGCTGGATCTATCGACCGCGCGTCGTACCTTCCATGAAGTTGCGGGATGCTACCCAGACTTACTTGAAGTTGGGGCGGAGGAACTGGTTGCTGGCCTCGAAAGTGGGGCGTGGACGAGCGTGGAATTGACAAAGGCATACATTCTGCGCATTGTCGAGACGAACTCTGTTCTCCGCGCAGTCACTGAGATCAACCCGGATGCACTATCCATTGCTGCAGCTCTTGACGCCGAGAGAGCTAATGGCACAATCCGCAGCGCGCTACATGGGATCCCTATGCTTATCAAGAACAACATCGCCACCAACGATCAAATGAACAACACTGCTGGTTCATACTCCCTCCTCGGGGCAAAGGTTCCACGTGACGCCACAGTGGCTTCCAAGCTGCGGAGGGCCGGTGTGGTTCTTCTTGGAAAGTCTAATCTCTCACAGTGGGCTAATTTTAGGTCATCCAATAGCTCAAATGGGTGGTCGGCTCACGGGGGTCAAGTGACTGGCGCCTACTACCCAAACATGGACCCAAGCGGAAGCTCCTCAGGCAGTGGGGTTGGCAGTTCCATAGGTCTAGCATTTGCAGCACTCGGAACAGAGACAGATGGTAGTATAGTGAGCCCATCGAGTGCTAACAACCTCGTTGGTATCAAGCCAACCGTTGGGTTGACTTCACGTTCTTTGGTGATACCAATCTCAGAACATCAAGATACTGTTGGTATAAATGAGCTCCTCTTCCCCAACTTTGCAACCCCTCTTGAGCGAGACTTTCTAACCAGATATCAGGCCCCATGGCTCGTAGTGTCTCCGATGCGGCCTACGTACTTTCAATAATTGCGGGCAAAGATGAAAATGACAACTATACTCGCGCACAGCCTTGGGATGCTCCACCGGATTACACTCAGGCCCTGAACTTCTCGAGTCTCCGAGGAGCGAGAATTGGTATCCCTAGAAATGGCTTCACGCAAGGTCCCACCGATCAACCTATTTTTGACGCTTTCGACGCAGCAATTCAAATCTTGAAAAATGCAGGAGCAACTATTGTTGACAATGCCAATTTTTCCGCGTGGGATGAGGTCGTAACAGATGACGATGCGATAAGAGGAAATGGTACAACTGTGCTTGAGGCCGACTTTATATCCAATCTTGCTAGTTATCTTTCGCAGCTGACATCCAATCCAAACAACATCAGATCCCTCTCGGACAAGTCCAATTTCACCCATCACACTGCTCCCGAGGAGTATCCAAACCGCAATACAGCCGTATGGGACCAGTCTTTATCTCTGGGATACAACAACTCGGATTCAAGGTTCTGGGAAGCTTACCAATACTCCTTTTCCTTTGGTGGAGAAGGCGGGGTCTTAGGAGCTTTAAAAGCGCACAATCTTGATGCCTTGGTACTTCCTACTGATTACTCTCCCGGAGTACCAGCGAGAGCAGGACTCCCGATTATTACAGTTCCGATGGGATTTTATCCAAGTAATACTACAGTTATGGAGTCACGAAGGGGACTTGTTACTGTTGGACCAAACATCCCGTTAGTCATCTCACTTTTTCTTCGGCTCCTCATTTTACGGACTTTTGGCACCAGCCGTGCATTTTACAGTATTCTGACAGCAGTTAGATTTGGCCTTTCCTTCTTGGGCGCTCAGTGGCCTGAAGAAACTCTTATTGGCTTTGCCTATGCATTCGAGCAGCGTACCCACTCAAGGAGGAAAGTGAAGCCTTTCCTGAAGCCGAGCACTCAGCTTGCAGATGTCATCAGCACTTGACATGTCTAACTGCACGGTCACGATGTTTTACTTCGGCAACCAAGGGACATCGTGGCAGAGAATTCTGCATCACAGCAGGGTTTGCGTGTGTCAACAGCTGCAACTCTCCATGGAAACCAACCTAAGACTCATTTCATATTCCCAGTGCAAGACACGCCAACGAGTCAAGAAACGCTTCTGAATGCAAAGTGCCTATCTACCTTGCTCACTGACTCCATCTTCGAGCATTACTTACATTAAGCTGACCCACCAAGAGTGTTTGATTGTGGCAAGATGCCTCACATTCCTCACCGCTCCTTTGTGAAGTGGTTCTCGCTATCCCTTTTTGCCCGTGCCCCGCACAAACTCCACAAACCTTATCTTACTACTTGACAAGAAATCTAGGTCCTACATGATAGCTCACAAATCGACTTGTCTTATTAGGCAATTCAAAATCTCCCCGCAATTCGAAAGCGCTGGGTCCGTCCGCTACAGCCATTCCCCTGAAGCCATTCCGATTTCATTCACCGAAGAGTTTAGCTGATATCCGTGCGTTGAAGTTACCCCTGATTCAAGCGAACGTGCTAGGCATCCTTGGAAGTTGGGACCGCCTCCTCACGGATGGTTTTGCATTTGTGCCGTCTAATTTGATTTACTGGGGCTGAGTGAAAGGAACCTTCCGAGGAGGCAGCCTCGCGGAAGACCATATCCGAGACTCCGAACAGAACTGGAGGGGTTTCGGCACGCTTTGCCGTCCCGCCTGGAGCTTGCTAGAACGCCACCACCAGTAGGTATGTGGATATAAAAAAGACGGCGTTTTATATTTTTCTCGTAATAAAAAACGTGGTGTTTATAATTTCCGATAGTTTTTTTATTTAATTTGTATGGTAATCACGTGTATATAATTAATTAGGAAGAAAACAATGAGAACGCCAAATTAGGCTAGCAAGTCAAGCTCTACTATTACGTGAAAATATAAAAATCCTGTTTTTTATATATATAAAACCATTGAAATATGATACAAACCTGTATTTTATACAAAAATAGTTCTTTTACGCACCCCACCACCCAGTCTCAATGATTGAAAATCCACAATAATTCCAGGCTCTCATTCTTCGAGACAAGGCAACTACCACTATGGTAGCGCCAAACGAGCAAATAAAAGCCAACTGATAACCATTGCGTCTGAGATCAATTGCATAATTTTACTGAAACCGATTCCGAAGCCGAGTGAGGCTGAGCGGAAGCCATAACCTCACTGCAAGTTCCAATGACCTTGGGGCGTAACGATTAGAGTTACTTTGCAACTTGAAAAGAAGTTCATTTCGGATTGCCAGTATTGGAGATAAGGCAGAGACTATTGAAACGCCCGCATCTGCACTTTGTTCAATTTGGATTCCCAATTCATAGTTGCCCGAGCGTCGGGGAAGATTAATATCAGTAAGGCTGAGAAAAACGGCTGCGAATCATGACACATAGAGTTGCAACCTCATATCGAGATCCGTAGTAATAGAAAAAGGGTTGACCTTAACGTAATGTAATGAGCTTTTATCATTGCACTATAAATAGAATATATATAATAATAGAGGTTTAAGGAGTGTGTCTAGGCTTCCCCGGTACTGTTTCAAGCGGGGGTAATGGAACGATCTATTACGCTGCGGCCAGCTTCATATCTCGCTAAATCCAAGGAACATCAAAAGTGTAATTATTCCAGCTTATATTAACTTGCGAAATCTTTATAGAAGTTATAAAAAAACATGATATTCTAATAGGATATAAGGTTCATCTTTATCCTAAAAATGCACCTAAGCCTTGTATTATTATGAAGCAATTTATTTATGTTCAAAGTTAGTTTTGTAATCTTAAGCGACATGTAAAGCTGGCCGCTGTGGCACGGATAGCTTATCGGGGAGGTCCCGTTCCATTTTGGCTTAGCGCCCTGATTTTCCATACCTAAACAGGTTAGTGTGTTATATAAGCGTATTGTAAGCTATCAAATACTGCTACTCTCATTTACATTATCGTGGCAAGGGTATTAAGCTTTTCTTTTCCTGTAACTTATAACACACCACCCTAATCGCCCGGCTTGATCTGAAAGGAGAGCTTTGCAGGCTTGGCGTTTAACCTCACAAAGCATGAACCAGCCTCGGTGCGTGGGGGGGTCGAGATCAAGTCGCACGACGCCAGTTCAGCCTCTGCAGGTACATCTAGATACATTTTCTTGGCGGCTGACTGCACAATGTGTTGTATCACACTAAAGCGTTCCCTGGTCAATGACATTCGCGAGGCAACAAGGCATTTAGCAAAATCCCTGGTGGTCTGTTGAAGCCTGTTTTCTGATCACCCAGAGCTTGGTTCTTTTACGGACGTGGGTGTGTCTCCAACCCCCATGACTTTGGCCGCAGACTTTCGTTACATTCCGGCTTAGTGCAGGTGGCTATTTAAGTACGGCTCGCCCGATAGCCTTGTACTTTTGAAATACGCGGCTGGAGTCCACAACCCCGTCTCCAGCCACGTGCTGACCGTTGCGCTCGGAGCGCTCGGAGCGCACGATGCACCATTCAGGCTGGCGGGGTAAGCTTGTGACTGAGAGAAGTACCTATTCAAGTGTCAGAGGCTCACTTCAAATTTGAAATAGTGTCTTTCTTTCATCCTATCATGTGTCATCTGATTCGTGGCAGAAACAATCGCCTTAAAAATTAAAATGGTGTGTGATTTGTAATTCTTACTGGTTGAGTGTGGGGGGGGAGAGAAGAGGTTTTATTGGTCCTCAGGAATCGAGTTGGATGCACATGCACCTCTTTTGGCAAAGCCTGCAGAAGGCAGAGGCGTGATAACAAATGGGATGGATAATAGTCGTGTGACTATCCTTTTGGATCAATGGATGTAGTGACCCGAGATGGTTTGAATCATTCTTGCTACGGGGTTCTCCAGTGGTTCTCCGGTCGCCGGAAGTACCAGCATATGACGGTACGCGTCCGAATGCGTCTCTGCGAATAGCTTCAGCAGATGTACGTGGGCAAATTTGTGTCTTAGGCGCTGATCCTCAATCGAATCTGAAAATGTATATTTCTCGGGCGTGATGAGGAGAGCACATGGGCGAGCACGAGAGATTTATGACGCATTCCGTGCTGACATGATGCCGTGAGGCTTTTCGGAACACCGGAGAGCGTAAGACGGAGGCACCGAGAGCCTCAAGCTGAGGCAACCTTCCGCAGTTCGTGCAATTACGAAGCACGGGAAAACGGTACTGCGCAGCTCGCAGTAGCGTTGAAGCCTAACTCTGGAACCTCTGGTAGAAAAGTGAAGAGTCGTTTGCGGCAAAGATACTCAGAAACCAGTCCCAAAGAAGAAGTTCTCAGCAAATGCCTTCAATTTGTCGTCTTAGCGGCTCCCTCACCATGCTGAACCGATATCACTTACACCCACAAATGAGATGAAGTCAATCATGTCCTCAACTTTGGTTGACTTAAGAGGTGTTGAGATTATCGGGTTTCCTTTGTCTAGCTAATATCCTTTATTCTTATTAGTCTACTAAAGGAGAGCTTCTCCCCAGTATTAGATAATAAATTGAGCTTCTACATTCGCTTGGATCATACTCCACTTCTTTATTGGTGCTGTCATCATAAAGCACTCCTTTAATTTTACCCGAATTCAATAAGAAGAATTGCGCTTAAGGTTCTAAGACACCGCATGAGGCCCAAGACTTAATGCTTGATAGTTTGCAGAGCCGTAAAGTCGTTGATATTTTCCCAGATCAATGTTTGACGTCTGATTTACAAGTTGTAAATTTCAACATAACAAGTCTTGAGAAATAATTGAGCCGAATATGTCACACCCTGTTGATATCAAGCACAGTACCATACTTTTCCGTAGCCGGCCCAAGAAAGAAACCGCGATTACCAACTGCCAATTCCCAATGTACTGAAACAAAACTGTGCTTAATTTCACCCCAGCCTATTTTTTAAACGTCACCTCTAAACACCTTCTCCCTTCTAACCCATCTCTTACCCCTTTCTTCTTTCACGGTCCTCCACCATTTCTCCATGCTGCTGGCAAATACCAGCACCGCTAAAACACAAACAGTAATCGGTACAGCAATGGCACCATAGATCCAGTACGTCCTTACGGGGAGCTCTCCACTCATACTAAAAAAAGCTGCCCAGAAGTTCAACGGAACGAAGACGAAAGCTAAGTAGCTTACTCTCGTGATCGTATGAGATTCCTGCGTTGCTTTCTTACTTTCCTCACGAGCTGTGACGGCCATCGAAACACCGTTGATTTTATCTGCTCTGCAGTGCAAGATCTCGAGCCTGTGAAGGATGTCTCTGAAGTTTGTAAGAACGTCCCGCCAGCCCTCGGAAGTTGGGGTAGGCTCTTTAGACTCGTACCGAACTGAGAGCCGAGAAATGGAGCGTTCTACGAAAGAGTGGTAAATGGGGAGCCGCCGTCTCCACATAAGCAGTATCTTCAATGTATGGTCGAAGTCTTGTGCATAAAGGTGCGAAAGGCCAAGCTCGGTTTCCCACTCAATCTGGCCGAGACGAGCATTGACATACTCGCATATGAGAATCCATTGTGCGGCTACCATTGTGAAGAATGCTAATGGGAGGATATCTGGAGCTACTGGTGGTGCGTTTGCCGGCGTGTTTGCGCGGTTAAGTGTCCAGAACAAGAACTCCTGGACCGAGTTGCTGTAAGTGGGGAATGTGATCTCTTCCAAAGGAGTGTTGATGCTAGGAGGCGGATGAAAGTTTCCGTAACCGGACCAGAGTGGAAACCCATGGTCGATTGTTGGGTCGACGATTAAAATTGCTGACGTCCGGTTATCATGTGTACTTGGGTATTTTGAGGGGCGTGCTTACCGAGCCATCCTTGATCGGAACCCCTATTCGGTCTCACCCAGAGCGAGACTTTACTCCTCACTAAACCAACATCACTTCCTGGCATATCGCTCCATTCTTTGAACCTTCCATCATGATCTACTCTTCTTAGGACATTAAAAGACTCAGCTTGAGCTTTCGCTGCGTTGAGTTGTTCCTGATTCTCGAAATATCTAGGCGAGACGTATTGAGCGCTGAAGTAATTTGACTTGACAGAGAAAGATTCAAGATCTGGAATCTCTGCTTGGGGGTCTCTGGTGTTCAACCAAACATAATCACCGATGTGGCTTCTAAAGATTCCAGGCTCGATGTCGAAGGCTGAGCCCAGCTTTTCAATCATGCGAGTGGACAAATCCTGTACCACAAGAAGTCGATGTTTCTGGGCTGCCCCTTCCTCGTTTAAGTTTCCAAGAAACTCATCCAATTCATCCGCAGTTCTCAAATCTTTCGAGCTCATCTCATCTCCATACTCGACAACTGAGATGTTAACACGGTTCAACCTCTCGTGTCGGTCCTCAGGAGTCAATGTCCTGCATCTTAAAGGGACAGTGGAGACTGTCATAAAATCGGCCAAGTATCTCAGGTGGTGCCATCCCTTTGAGATATCTCTCACACGCTCATGATACCGACCGATCGTCTCTCTGCAACTGGTCACCAATGTCAGGAACGCTTCCACATTGTACCAAAAATATCACGTACTCTCTTTCAGCTTGGGTACTCAAGGAGCAGTCAAAAGGCCTATTGATCCTAGCATAGATATCTCCTAGATAGAAATCATGGGGGTCTTCTTCCATATGAAGATTCGCATGAGGAGGGTGCCATGATCCAATTCTCTGACGAGCGCGAAGGACACTTCCGGCCTCCGACACGTGGAAATCACTGCCGCTACTACTCTTGGAGCTGTGTCTGACAGAGGCCTTCTCTCTCATACTGGAGTTGGTCACCACCAGCTTCAATGGAGCTAGATTCGTTGCTGACATTGTGGAGGCGGGTTGAGACGACGCTGTAGTGCTGAATGATGCTGCAGATACTCGGCGAAGGCTGAAACATTTTACAAATATTGTTTGTCCATCAGGATTTAGGCAACAGGGCTGAATGCGAGATGGTTGTGGGCTGTGCAAAAAGTTGCGGATGTTTGGTGGGAAGGATTCGGGAGGACGTCCAGCTTGGGTGAGGGGTATCTTCTCCTGATCGGGAAACTCACTTCGTGAAATCTCCTGCCAGAATGGAAAGTCATTCAGCAACAAGAGAAATGGAGAAACTGAAGGCCATTTTGTTCCATCTTCTGGAGTGACAGTTTTAAGTAACCGAAGGTTGTTAGGGCTCTTGCAGAAGGAGACTTGTAAGAATAATGAAGACAAAGGAAGCGTTCAAACAAAATAAGGTGGAGAACGATTGGCAATGAGCTAAAGTGCAGGCCGTGAAACCCATAATTGATCCGATGTTAGGACAATGAGATTATGAGAGTACTTTCATGAATGATAGTCCACAGCAGCTGAGAATCCTCTTGCACAAAACTTCAAGATACTTTAGCACCTCCTTTCAATTTGCTTCTGCTACAGTCTCAACTCTCAAAATAATATCCTCGCTAAAGGCATGCCGGTTCTTCATATGCCCTCTCCAGTTATCATTCCTTAGAAAATCCTTGAGATCCTGCCTTTGATCTCGAAAATTTGCATCTCCGGAAGGTGCAGAGGAATCTCTTCGTCGTTGCGTGAACGCTATTGATGTGTAGATAATGTCCTTTAAGATTTCAAAACCAACACCACAATGGATACACTTCTTTGGGTAGGTGTGGATTTCTTGTGATGACTGAAAATTAAACTGTTAGCACTCAACTTGTTGTCGAATTTGACGACTCTTGGTGATATTCATGCCTATGCTCGAAAGCCCTCTCGCAATGTGGAACTGGCACATAATGTGAGTCATGGCGGCGGAAGAACATGTTGGAGATGCCTGGGAGGGCTGCAATCCGTATTCGAGAAATATACCTTCATCAAGTCTCTTTGATGAAGCCTGTGTGCATTGTGGGACAGATACAGGTCCAACCTCTGAGGTGTGATCTTGAAAGAATGGTTCTGAGATATCTCGAGGATCGAGGGAGGAAGGGTCAGACTCTCGATTGAGTTCGAATGATTGCGGGATGTTGGGGTCTCAGCGTTTGGAATGGCCCTTGTAAGATTCCAAGTACGCGAGCTATGTAGGTCTGTAGGTCCCCAAAGTTTTCGAGAGTCCTCTTCATCTCTTAGTGGGTTTCTCTGCCTCGGGCGGCAACGGACGCGATTCCAATACCAAACGCGGTGCTCAACAAAGAGCGAAGTTGGTGACGGCAGAAACAACCGTGTAAACGCCGAAAAGGCCTCCTAGGCTGAGGGCGACTCCAACTCCCCTAGATAGAAGCCATGCCGAAGAAACTTCCGATAATTCTCCTCGCATTAGTCGACAGCGTTAATACGTGATTCTATGGCCTTCTGGGAGAGAGGGTATTCTTACGGTTGATGAAATTGAGGTTGCAGAATGCGGACGGAATATAATTCCAGAGTGCGTGACAAACTTCTTAGTAGTACTAGCCAAATCATGGGCCAACGATAATCTCGCCTTGCTGTGTACTGAAACGCTGGTGGGTTTTGGCAAAAAGGACCAATAGATTTCTTCAGATAGTGCCAGCCGGGAGGCCACTCAATGGATCGCGCATGAAAGACATTGAGATTGATTTAGTCTCAGCAACAGAGAGGCTTGTTGTAAGTCCGAGTTGACGATACATAGATAAGCGTTCGATACAATTGTGATAAATTATCCTACGCACCCATGCTCTTTTCATCCGCAGACCTAGGAGCTTGAAACCCCAAAGTTCTTCGTCGCGGTCTCCAACGTGTGCATTCCTGTAACTCCACTCATACCGTACCAACGCTCGTAAAAACTCCAAATTCTCTCTCTCTCTCCAAACTCAATTGTCTGCTTTCAGAAGTTTTGATTGCAAGCATAAGCATTGCATGGAGTGTATTTGTAGCGTCGTTTCCAGCGTTGTGAAGGTCTGGTATGTCGAAAGGCAATTGAGTTCTGTCAAAAGACTCCCGAGAGTGGAGCTCCGCTCAAGTAGACTTTGAGCCATATTATACGTGTCGAGCGTTGCCAGCACTGGGGGAATGACATGTAGATTGACTCGAAGTCGTTGAATAACCTCTACATCGCGGAAGATCGAGTGACCAACGATGACTTTATCCCTGCGGCACTGCGAGTCGGGAGAGCTGTAGGGCTGGTATCTGGAATAGGTAAGCAGTTGGTAATTGTAGCGGCAAGCTACTCTTGCGGAACAAAAGGCGTCTCCGCAAACACACATTCTTTAAAGTCTGTGACATCACAGTCAAGAAAATCTGTCGAACCATTCGAAGTGGAGGATTCAGAGGTGGATATAGCGTTCACGCCAGGAGGTAGGGATGGTCAAGATATTAAGTGCCGTGTATCGAGAGTTGCGATGCCGGATTCTTTGACAAGCGGGACACCTGGTTTGTTAAGTTCGTTTCGTAATACTTCGAGATCGATAGCTATGAAGATAGCGTCCACAGATAGATTGATTGTGTTAGTAGCTTGAAAGCCGAGGAATTGCTTAGCGTTCTGAAATTCTCCATTGCGAAGAATAGAAAATTTGCATTGCCCTTGCCATTTCTTGCTTTGCAAGAAGACATGGGTAATGGGTTGATATTGTTGGTAGACAATTGTGAGATGGTTGAGAAATGCTGGCTAATATTCCCTAATTAATCGTGGGTGTGGTCTGGAAAGGTATGTCTGCTTACGAGTTCAGATATTTGAATATTAAATTGCCATCTGGACTGAGCACCAAGTAGGGCCCGCAAAGGGACCCACCAAACTCTGAAGAGCAGCCGCCAGTTTATGGGCTTCCACAATCTGGTTTATTTGGTAATGCTCTCAAAGACGCGTAAATTGAGCTGAAATGATCAAGTTACCAAGTTTCCCTCGGCAGGCGAGCACAGATAGAATGCAGAACCTGGCTCAGCGGGACATTGATTCATCTGCATGTTCCAAAAGAAAGAAGTATAAATGGTAGAAGTTTTCTCTGCAAGTATTGAAAGCAAAACAGGCAAGATGACGGCCATATTGGGAGAATAGCACTATCCTTCGCAACTGTAAGAGGAAATGCACAACTTCTTGGGTTCCTCCTTGGGCATGGTGCCTGTTGTCAGGGGAAAGGAGTCAATGTTTTAAAAACAGGCAATGTCCTCTTTGGACAAGAAGAGCGAGTAAGGAATAGTTGGCCCCTTTAATACGAAGACTTGGATAGCAAATGCAAGTTCTACTGTAAATGCTCTGGAATTGGTATCGCCAGCTACGTACATTCCTTCAGCTCACACTTGTGCGTCGGCACTGGTAGTCTGAATTACCAACCAATGATTCTAAAACAGAAGAAATTCACCTTGATAGCCACCCTTGACTTCTATTTCCTGGCCCAGCAATACCTAACCTTCCCAATTGCAGGCTGCTTCTATTGCTCAAGACAATACAGAACAATTTCCACCTTCACACGAGTCACAGCCCTTCTCTCGCAATTTTCACGAAAATCTTGGCCTCTGGCTGCACCCCATGCGTCTCCATCACAATGTGATTCATCTTAAGGCCCATCAATCAACTTCCATTTCCACCTCGTCAGAATCTCCTCGTGTAAGCACTTCGCCGAAATAATGCCGCCCCGGCCCCTGAACCCATACCCTTCACAAATGACGTGTGAAATAGCTTACATGAGGCTTGCGTCTTTCCTGCGCCCATCCAATCTGACGCGCTTGGTATTCTCGTGAGTTACACAGTGGCTAAGATATTCACGTGTCAAGGACGAGGCGGACGAGGCAGATGAAATACGAGGGGTTGTATCGTGCAGCTTGCATGATGTTGACACTTTGTGTTGAGGAAGATCTATTTTGGTAACAGTCGGTGAACGAGCTTGACAAGTGTTCTCAATGAAACATCATGAGCAAGTGTCAGTGCGAGTCTCGCGAATCTGTCGGCCCCACAACCCGTGATGTGCAGCATCGCCAGGATTGGCCTTATTGTTTATGGGCCAGTGATAAAGGGCTGTTCCCGAGAAAGTTGCCACTTCCGCCACCACTGAACTTGGGCTCCAATACTGGACCTAAAGCACTCAGCAAGTGTCCAAAAAACAGTCAAGTGGCTTAAGGCCCGACATAACAAAGCGGAGGAAACTCCGTGGCGGAAACACGTGGGCGCTCCATTGTTTTCGGAGATGTAGGGCGGTCCGAGATCTCGCATAATGAAGAGAGATACGGATATTGTCTATAGGCCGAGAAAGGTAGGTCTTTTGAGGAAGTTTTAGAGTAATGTTACCAAAACTACCAGCCAGTCTTGCAGTAATTTCGTGAAGAATTCTCAACTATGATAGATCAGTTCCGGGCATTCGAATTATGTCTGAAACCCGACATCTTCCGAAGATGCTCCTTCCCCTTCACCGCACACGTAGTCCGCTGAGTCGTTTCCCCATCCGTAAATTCTCTCCTGAAAGCATCTCCCTCAATCACCACTCCTGGCCTCTAAAGCCATTCATCCATCCAGCTCCTCACAAAGGAAAGTCCTTCTCGAGCACTTTCAGATCTCTGGCCCAAAGGGAAGCCCCAAGCGCTCAATCTTGCGGCAACTCGAAAGGCGGGTAAGGTTCTCTCCACCGGCTCCTCAACTCAACTCAAATAGAAATACGATTCGAAGCATCTGCACTTCCATTGCATACACCATCACTGTCCACGATTCCTTTCAAAATCCCCCCTTCCCCCATGGCTTCCCATCTCTATCTAGCCCCTTCCTCCAATTACTTCCCGGCTGAAATGGAAAGCCCCTGCATAAAAGAATATATACCTCCGCCGCACCTAATACCGCCACAAAAGCGTCCATCCACGAGATGTCCCATGGCCAGAAGAAGATCAAGATACAATAGGAGCAAATGAATCCAAGCACAGCGAGTATGCTCGCGGACAAGGTGGAGGGGAGTGGGAAAACGGGTTCCCAATCCCAATCATCATCCTCCGGCGTGGATTTGTTTTGGTGCTTTTCCTCAAGAGGCAAGAGTGGCCCGGTGGACATAGTGGTGGTAGAAGGGTTTGATGTTGTGACTTGAGATGATAAGAGGTGCGATGTGCTGCGTGTGCGAGAGTGACAGTGGAAGGGATTAAATTTATGATGAGAATGGTGGTGCCACACTTGAACCAAACGGGAGCGGAAAATGGTTGGGGTTAGGGCAAATTGGAAGAACGGACCCAAGAGAAAAGAACAGACAGGGTTACAGCCCATGGGATACCCGTACTTCCTCAATATCGCATGATCCAACTTCGACTTCTCTGCCTAGAAACAGTGCTACTACTGTTGTACTGCTCAGCTCATATAAAAATACACTTCAATATCAAAAAAACACAAACTACGAGGGCTTGAAGGTTCTTCTTAATGGGTATTGCATTCATATATGAATCGACTGTCTATACATCCCAACTCCATAATGCAAAAGCTTTTCTTTTCCGCATTAAGCAATCGGTGCCTCAAATACTAAACTTATACCATCATCCCCAGCTGTCACAATCCTCGTGCCATCTCCTTCGACGAATCCTAGCACACCACCTCCTTCCCCATCACCTCTGTGTCCTTTCCACTCTCTCACGAAGCCTGAGTTCGCTATCCCGGTTCCGCCCCGTGTATCCCACCTCCGAACCACGCCATCCATGCCGCAACTCGTTAATAGCCACCCTCCTGTCCTCGAGTTCTTGACGAACTCTACTTTCACCACCGAGTAATCTTCATGTGCTTCCTTAATATGCCGTCGGACTGCAAAGCGGTGTGCGGAGTCGAAGAGCGCGATACTGCCATCTACACTTCCTGCAGCCAGGAGGGTGAGAGGCGGAGGAGCGAACGCCAGTGTCTCGATGCCGTCAGTCTGCGCTTGTAAATCTGCAAGTATTTGGCCCGCTTGACCAGCAGACGCCGCGCTTCCTGCCGCCTTCCCACCAGCTTGCTTCCCACCTTTGCCTTTCGACGACGCGCCAGCTCCAGCTCTTCCAACCGGAGCAGAGCCAGAAGCATCAGTGCCTAATCGAGGTAATCCAACGACTTTGATCGCGCCTCCCGCTCCACCAACAACCACGAACGCTCCGGTAGGTGCAACCGCAACACTGAATAATCCTCCTTCGACTGCGAATCGCTGATCCAGAGCTGTAAGACCAACCACATACGCACCGCCTTCACCTTGAGTTAAACCAGCAGCAGCCCCCTCCCCAAAAACATCCCAAACGTACAAACTCCCATCCTCACTAACCGTCGCCAGCAATTTCCCATCCGCGCTCCAAGCCCCCGCCGTACAAGCCTCCGTATGCAAAAAGTAGCTCTGCACGATCTGCAACGGGGCGTCCTTGCTGTCCTTATCCACAGTATAAACCCACACAGACCCATCATTCGCACCCAGCGCCACCGTATTCGCAACCCCTGGATTCGGACACGCAGCAAGCCAATTGATTTCCTCAACTTCCTGCGCTTCAGCTACAAATGCCCATTTCTTGCCATCTTTCGATTGCTGAGCAAAGGCTCGTAGCCGTCCATCCAAGCCTCCTGAGAGCAGGAACTCCCCGTTCGGAAGCGTAAAAGTTAAAGCATTAATCGAATCGCTATGCCCTTCCAAAGTGAAAATCTTCTCCAACCCCTTCCTCTCTACTCTCTCGCCAGGCTCACTCCTCCACCCTTCGGGTAGCACAGGACTCGCGTCTTCAGCAGGCGTGGAGTCGAAGATATACCCAATCCCACCCAGATCTTCGCCTTCTGAGCCGCCGGTGGCGACTATGATGGGGAGGAGCGGGTGCTGCGCGATGGTGAAGATGCTGTCTTTGTGCAGGTCGAAATGGGCGGAGGAGTCGTTTTGCAGGGCGATTTCTTCCATGATTTCGTCTTCGTTGGGATCTGCGTCGGAGCCGGAATCCATGGCTGCGTCACCGTCTCCATCTGCGTATTCTTCTGCTGCTTCGTCGGCGGAGAGCATGGCAGGTTCTTCCTCCTCCTCTTCATTTTGGTGGGGGTTGTGGGAGGACGACATTCTGGCTTGGGTAGCTGGTGAGGGTTATGGGGAGACAGATGGGTGAGAGGTGGGTGAGGAAGGATCAAGAGGCCCTAGAGAGATGGGAGAGGAGACCAGTGTGGAGGGGGACTTTATTGTGGTGGTGGTTGAGGAGGAAGTTGATTGTTAATCTTTTTCTACAAGGGTCTGCTGAAATCTTGTCCGTGCCGTGCGCCACTTTGTCAGCCTTGCCCCACATTGAGCCCCGCTTTTCAACTGACTCCAGCGAAGACTGCATTTGGTTTCTCCAGCTCGTGATGAAAAGGTAAAAGGCGTTTATTCAAGAGATTCGATTAATGCCAGTATGGAAAAACTTTGTAATCTTTTCTGTAAACTTCTTTAGAGTCCTGCGTATACACAGTACCGGTTCTAATTAATCTACCCAAAATCTCTCCAGATCTACAGTTTGGCTCCCTTCTTCCTTCGAGACTCCTTATCCTTATCTCTTAATAAGCGTCTCAAAATCTTCCCACTAGGACTCTTGGGAATCACATCGATAAACTCAACGCCACCCTTCAACCACTTGTGCCTCGCTTTGTGGTCCTGCACATGTTTGGCAATCTCTTTTGCGACCATCCGATCGTTGTCTTCAATTCCAACTGATGAGGATTTCACTACAAAGGCCTTGGGAACTTCACCTGCTGCATCGTCGGGAGCAGAGATAACAGCACAGTCTGCCACCGCAGGGTGAGTGAGGAGATGCGCTTCAAGTTCCGCGGGCGCGACTTGGAGACCCTGAGATACATGTCAGAAAAGAGATTGGAGAAGGGGGACGTGGGATATACCTTGACTTTGATCAACTCCTTAATCCGATCAACAATGAAGACATGCTCATTCCCTGAAGGAGCTTTGCGAATCTCCGCTTCATCACCAGTTCGCATCCATCTCCCGTTACCATCTGTGTCATCGAGGAAGGTTTCCTTATTGGCTTTGGGATTGTTCAGATATCCCAAGACAACAGATGGAGATTGGACAACCAGTTCTCCTGGCTGATTGTAGCCGGTAATCTCAACGCCTTCCAGTGACATGATCTTTGCTTTGTAGCCGGGGAGGAGAGACCCACTGCTCCCAAACCAGATGTCGGTCTCCGGGCTGGAACAGACGACAGTGCAGGTCTCTGTCAAGCCTGGGATTGTTAGTTGAGGGTTTCTGAGACTTCAAAAAATCCTTACCGTAACCTTGACGAATCTTCCAGGAGGGATACAGTTTCTGAAGTTCTTCAGCAGTCTCTGCACCGAGTGGTGCAGCTCCCGTGAAGATCCCATTCACACTGCTCAGATCGTATTTTGAGCAAGCTTGATTGCTTTTAGCCATCAGGATAATAATCGGAGGAACCTAAATTATGTTTAGCAAAACATTTCATGGATAGGAGCAAATAACAAACCAGGTACAAAGTTTGGATCTTATGAGTTTGGATGGCATTCAAATATGATTGCAGCTCAAACTTTGGAAGGATGATGCAAGCATCACCTCGATAACTGCTAGCTTGGGCAATCACAACCAGTCCATATATATGGCTTAGGGGTAAGAGGGCCAGTGCTACTTCAGTCTTCTTCTCTGGTGGTCGAGCATCTCGCATAGGTTGTTCGAAAGTTTTGATCTGCACCACGTTTGAGATGACATTGTGATGGCTTATCATAACTCCTTTCTGTATTGAAGTTGTCAGCATTCTATTCTCCCTCATCGTATTTGTTTCAAGAAAACTGCGGTACTCACCGGTAACCCAGACGTCCCACTCGAGTAGCAGAGATATGCAGTTTGTCGCGCTCCCTGTCCCTTCTCCCATTTCTGCTTCGCAAGCTGAGGAAGCTTCTCGCCCTCCGCAATCAATTGCCCAACCGTTTTAAACGGAACCGACTTATCCCCGGAAAACTCTTTGGGCATCTCCAGGATGTAAATTCGATTGTTCGGGATTCCTGCACCTTTTGCAGCTTGCAGCGAAGTTTCGAGGAGGGGCATACACTGTTTGGCAAGCATTAGCTGGTTTGTAGGCGCTATTGAGGATTGCTTGCCGCACTGTAAAAAGGGCCTTGGCTCCAGAATTTTTCAATTGAAACTCAAGCTCCGAAGCTGAATACGCAGCATTTGCCGGACTCACGAGGCCATCCAGACGGTGGACGGCATATGCCAGAGTCATAGAATCGACCTGCAGGATTGGCCTGTTAGCGGAAGTGCCAGAATCAAGCTTGAGCAGCTTTGCCTACAGTGTTCAGGGCAAAGATCCCCGCTACTTTATCCCATTCTGTTCCTTGGTTTGGCTGCCATCCGAATTCCTTCGACAGAGCTCGTGCCAGACGATCAGTCCGCTCGACCATCTCCACCGCAGTGAAAGTCCTCCCTGATATGCCGCAGGTAAAGGGATTCCGCGAGGATTTCAGGGGATGGCGCCCGTAGGCGTCGTCCAGCATGAACTGCCATACTGGCACCGAGTCTGGAGGGCCTGCGATTGGGAGGCATTAGCTATGTATTGTTGACGAGATGGCGAAGCTGCAGAGGATTATTAAACAAAAGAATTAAATTCTTACTGGGAAGCTTTGGGACCCAGGACGGCGGAAAGAAGACCATGCTGACGGTTGCAGGGATGCAGCGTAAATCACCTCGGTTCAGCGTCGCCAAAGCCCCTGCAGAAGCTTAAATCACAGGCGGAAGCACAGTCCTTGTGAGATATAATTCTGCCAGACACAATGTTCTAGACACAAAGAAAGGGACACGGGAACAGTTGGATGCGGAAGAAGAACTGAGGAAGAGGAAGAGGGAGAGGGAGAGGGAGAGGGAATGCATCTGGACACTCCCCCTCCCCTTGGCCAGGTAACGGGTAGTTTACCCCATGTTCGGTAGCACAGTGTGCCGCGCCCCGGTGCCGCCATCTTTTCTGCTCGACCCGCGGTCTCTCCACAAATCGTCACTCTTCCCCGGATCGAACCTCGGCCTTGCCTCTTTCGAGCATCCACGGCACCTTGGTGCCTCGGCGGTTCGGGGTTGGAGCAGCTTTGCGAGCATGACTCGTGCAATCCGCAGGGAACGCGAGTCAAACCAGGGGAATTCTGGAGAGTGTGACGGTTCGTTGCTCTCCAAAGATGGAGCTGGTGGGGTCGAGAATCACACCCAAGACCGTGGTCTGTTTGATGTGCTTTAGGGTTCAGTGCCGCAATGCTGCCGTTCCAGAGGCTTCGGGCAAAGGGAAAATGCGCCCATTTCAATTCAATGTCCGAATTGCCGCAATATATTCAGAACCGCGTCTTCATAAGCCGTTCAGTGAGGGACGTGGGAAATTGGAATATCCTCATCAATTTTATTGTCTCATTCGAAATCGCCCACCATTCTGCGTCCTGCAAGCGTTCTTTTCGTCTGTTGGCTGGGTTTCACTTCTCCGTTCCAGTGTCCTCACTCCGCCTCTCGACGGGAAATCCTCACCTTTTGCTTTCCGCTTTTTCCTAATCAATTTGACTTTCGTTCCAGACCTCCTCTCTTCTCCAATGAAGATGATTCCAGCCCCTGAAGCCTAGCGAGGAACCCACAGACCTTAGAACAAGGGTTCGACGGCTTCTTGCTTTAGCGAGGGAGCCATCCTCGGTCCGAGTCTGACTCAACGTCGTCGAGATCTCGATGATGTTGGACTTCAATGCTTCGCTGAGAGAGCTCAATGTAACCTTTGAGCTCACCCATTTTTATATTCTATTGTATATATTCACCTTCTGAACTGTAACTGCCAAAGAAAGGGGCTTTATATGGCAAGAGAACGTAGATTGCAGGCCACTGAGCACGCCGGCCGGACCAGGCCATGGGAACGGCCACGCTTCTCTGGTATTGAGGAAAGCAACATTCTGGGCACAAAATGTCGGAGAACGAGTATAGAAATAAAACGAAAACCAAAGAGAAGGGAGATACAGACTGCTGTGAAGATGACTGTGGAGGTGTCAGAGGAAGTGAGCCCTCATGGAAGTTGTAATCGAAGTCACCAATATCCAATTCATTCGCAAGCTGAAAGACGTCAAACAAGGTCCAGGCTGAAATTGAGTAATGGGATGAAAGAAATCAGGGGTAACGACGAGGCGGATGGGCTTACATCCCTTCTCGTAAGGCTGAAGCTCAAGAAGGGAAAGCACAACCAAGAACTTGCTCCTTCCACAACTCATGTCACGAGCGAGAATCAAACGAAGGAAGAAACTATTTTTACCCTTTCTGACGCCCTTTCAAACGAAGCCAACAACAACTCTTCATCAACTCCAAACCTCTCCACTTCTTCTCAGCCAACTCCTAGTTCCCTCAGCATCGACTCTTCTCGACCATCTCCTGACCTCTCTAACAACACAAAACCGAGTCCAGATAACTCCATCGATAGTTCTCGCCTCACTCCCCTCCAAATCTCCGACAAGCCTTCTCAGCCACCCCCTCAGCCTCTCTGCGACGACATTTCTCAGCTCTCTACCAGCATTTCTCAACCCTCTCTTGATCACATCCCCGACAACCGATTGCAACTGAGTTGCAACCACTTCTCCAACAAAATTCAAGCCATTCCCGAAGGTTTCTTCAAACAAAGCTCTCACTTGACTTCTGACTACACCTCCAACGACAACTTTCATCCGAAGTCAGCTCCCGACCCTGGCCCCTTTTCTACAGACACTCAACCGAATCCCGATCCGGACCCCTTTCCTACCAGGAACTCGCAAGCGAATTTCTACCCCTACCCCCTTTTCACCAAGAGCTCTCAACCGAGCCTCAAGCTCAGCCCCTTTCCACAGGGGTCTCAACCAAATCACGATCCTGACCCCTTTTCCACCAACGGCTTTCAAAAGCCAACCAAAACTATTCTTGAAGAAGGGGAAAAACATTCGGAAGTCGAGATCGAGAACGACGAGTCTGGTGATTTATTTTCGAGTCCCTGTACGTAAGCCTAGCTTTCCCCCTACTTTTTCCTTCAGTCCTCAGGAACTCTGAGAGGGCGCCGGCTGCATTCATCTTCCCTACCAGCCGATAACTTATGATCGTTGTCCTATCAGTTGCGGGACAGTGATTTCTGAAGGTTCGGGGGAAGCGAGCCGGCAAAGTTTATCTCCTTTGGTGACAGACACGTCCTTGACCCTTTTCCCGTCAAGGCTTGGGAAATCAAACCTAAAGGATTTAAGGAAGTCAGCCCCTTTTTCTTCTTTGTTTGAATATTGAGAGGAAGTTGAGTTGGCGACATTTTTCTTCATCCGAAGTCGTGCGGGGTAAGCAACAATTTACTGTGCTGCATCGAAGGAGCGAGGGGGAGCTAGTGCCTTTTCGCCTCGCTTAAGTTCCTTCCACAACAGGACTGTTGACTTTGCCCTTCCGATTTCTCCGCACCACTTCTTCAATAAATTTCCTTCATTAACCTCGCCAACAACAACCTCTTCTTCCATCGACACCTCCATTCAATAACAACTTCTTTATCAACTGGTCAGCAACAACCTCTTCTTCCGTCCACGCCTCCCTCCAACAACCACCTCTTCTTCCATCAAAGCCTCCCTTCAACAACAACCTCCTCTTCCATCGACGCCGGCCTTCAACAACAACAACCTCCTCATCAACTCGTCAACAACAGTCTCTGCTTCCATCTACGTTTTCCTTCAAGAACACTACTTCCTTCATCAACACATTCTTTCAACAGCAAATTCTTTCTTCAAACACAACTTCATCCAAATCCAACGCCTTTCGCACTGAAGGTGCGCCGGTAGTGACAACTCTCTGAAAGTGCGCCGGTAGTGACACTTCACTGAAAGTACGCCGGAAACGACACCTCCGCAAAGGTGCGCCGGTAGTGACACCTCACTGAAAGTACGCCGGCAACGACACCGGCTCACTCTGCTTTTCCTACAGCCACGCCTTCCTTCATTAACACTATCTGCCATCCTTTATCAACACCCTCCCTTTATCAACAACACTCCTTCACCACCAAGAAGCTCTTCCTCAACCACAAGGCCTTCTTTCTCTCTATCAACAACAACCACGCTACATTTTAGTTACTTCTCGACACAACTGTCTCCTCTGCTTACTATTCCTTTCAGAATATCTCCTTACTCAAGATCTTCTCTTACCAAGAATTTCTTTCTGCTTCCGAACAATATTATTTATTCATTATCACCATTCATGCATTCTAATACAAGACAACAGGTTTATCTCCCGACAGTACAATGGCAGACCATGTCGGTCAGGGGTTGGGTTCCGCTAAAGGTTACTCTTCACCGCTAAGCTCACCACCTTCGTCTCCAACATCTACTCCAGAGTCTTTGAAACAAAATCTCCCAGTGAGTCTCCTTTCGCCCGATCTTTTTCGATTTTTTTCTTCGCTTTCGTCGGATGTTTTTACCTTTCATCGGATGTTTGGGACCGAAATGTGTAGTCATGTCTCGATTTCTTTCATTGGGAGTTTCTTTGGAGGAGACTAATGAATGTGAATGTACCAGGAGATTGAGAACAATGTCACTTCCCCACCAGCCACAAACAAACGCAAGAGAGAGTCCACTAGCCCCAAAGCAACGGCCAAGAAGCCCAAGACGGTGTACTACGGCAACAAGCAAGAGGGCAAGCCCATGCCTCACGGTCAACCCGTTGTCTGGTCCGACAAGAGACAAGGTCTTTGCGAGGCTCTGCCATACTATAGGGCCTATCAGTCGGGAGCCTACACACATGGTGGCAAGGTTTTGGGTTTTATGTGCGACGGAGAAGTTGGTGACCGAGATGTTTTCGAGGATCAGATTATGATTGCCCGAGTGTGAGTAAAGTCCTTCACATCCGGAATTGTTGCTAATTTCTTTAGCGGTGGTGGCAAGACTATCAACGAGGAGACAGGACAACGGGAACAGACAAAGTCACAGGACGACTGCGCGCTTGCCATATCTTTTATCGAAAGCCAGAATACACGTCAGCCAATCGTTGTTATTGCTGGTAAGTTTCCCCTTGCAATCTCTCAGTAGTGCATTTGCTAATATACTCCATAGGCCAAGGCAATACGGGCAGCCCCAGCAAGCTCCCTCACTACTATAATGTGCTTGATCACTTCCACGTCACTGACGTATGGTGCGAGAAGTACAACAGTGTTGTCCGCTGGATGGTTCGACTTGAGAAGATCGACCTTGCCCACAAATCCTGGTGGTCAGCGGGAACTACTTCACATTCGCATCCGAACTTCGTCTCACCAAAGGCTCTGGGCCAGGTCTGTTCTATTTGCAAGGTCCACAGCAAAAACATTTACAAGCAAGGGTGGGTGTGCCTAAATGCGGATCCTGTGAAGGCAGTCGTTGGAAAGCACGAGAAGACGACTTGCCCGGCTTTCTTCGATTTTGGTCGAGACGTCGATGACAAGACCCTCAAGTTCACTGAAGAATTCCTTCTGGAGCGGACACGATTTCCAGGCCATCTCACTGAGCCCTTGGTTCCTCAAATGCCTAACGCTGCCGATAAAGATGTGATAGGAGCACTCGCTTTCGAGGAAAGTTGTAGGAAGGGAATCGTCTGCACTCAATGTGGCTGCTGCAGCCGTCGCATCCACTGGGAGAAGTGGGTCTGTGAAAACCCCCTTTGCGGCTTCACAAGTGCTCTGACTCCACGAGCTGTACCCGCCTCTCCGGCAATCTCAGAGGATGAGGATCCGAAAGACCATACATTTGTGTCCAAGAGCATCGCTTCCACAACCGTGGACTTATGCTCGGGAAACTGGGCAGTGACGAAATATGACATCCCTGGAGAAGAAGGCGAAATCGTTGGCAATGTTTTCCATTTCAAATCCAACACGACTATTAATGGTCAGCCAAACGGTCCGGATGATCTATTCGCGGAGCTACAAGTCGCAAAACTTGGATTGAAGAGAAATCCCTCTAAGTGCCGAGGCGGTAAGTCTCTTAATCTCGTTACCCGGCAAGAAACTAATAAGTAATAGCGCGAAATGAGGTCTTGACCGCTCACTGGGCACATAATTGGGTATTTATGCTTCCTCCTCCACCTATAGATCTGTACTAATGTATGCTAGGGTGCTCCATACAAGTACAGCGTCCGTCAAGAATCTACTGAATTTGAGAAGGCTCCAAGAGTCATCATCAAGGCTCTGAAGAGACTGACTTGGGCTGGAAAACAAGCTGTCTCAACTGGCTTTGATAAGGATGATAAGGGCAAAGAGTTCCAACCGTTTAATGAGATGCTGTCCGTCGGATACTTTGAGAAGGGTTATATGGGTGTAAGTGTTCCTTTGAGGCAGACGGGTCTTTATTAACACCAGTAGTACCACGATGATGGCGAGGCCACGCTCGGCCCGACTGTTGCGTCAATTTCCCTTGGTTGCAGCTCCACTATGAAATGGCGACCAAAGAAGAAGAATAGCATTGTGAGCGAAAGAGAGCGTATCAATCAGAAAGGCATTAAGAAGGATGTCCTCAGCATCTTCTTAGAGCATGGCGATATCATGGTTATGCATGGCAGCCGGATCCAACAATTATACGAGGTGAGTGCATTTGTCTCTCCGTCCAGGCACAACTTCTACTGACTTTTGAAAGCACACGGTTATTCCTCATGGCAAGCTTCGGTTTGCGTTGACCTCTCGCTATATTATCCCAGCTACGATTTCGGATCCAATTGGACGACGTATTGCAGAGACAGCTGCTAATCTCCCAGATTTCAGCTCGGAGTATGAATATGATGGCAGTATGACTGCAGGCTCCAAGATACAAGTTCTACCCCGAACAAAGGAGACACATCAGCACAGCGATGCATGGCCAACAACTGGAACCGTTTCATCAGAGGACCTCCAGGAGACCTATTTCTCTGTGCTCGCGAGGATGCAGACTGCCGGTTCTCCCACTCAAGTTGGCACAATGCAGACTGCCCAGTCTTCCCCGCAAGCTGGCACAATGCAGACTGCTCATTCTTTCTCCCAAGTTGGCACAATGCAGACAGCCAGTTATTTTTCGCAAGATGGTACCACGCAACCCGGCTATGAGCAATATCAATACTCCGGTAACACGCCGAGACTATGTTATTTGGCAGAAGCTTCTGCAACACCTCCCCCGGGCTGTGAGCACCACGGATACCTCATGAACCTACCCGTCACCTCTTCTTATGAATACACGGCCACTACCTACCCACCTCCCAGTATGTACCCTACATACAATGGCCCCTACGCACCCGTGGTGGCTCCACCTGCCGGTCCATTGCAACCTCAATTCCAACAACCGCAATACTACGGCTACAACTATACACCGATGATGATGGCACCTGCACAGAACTATGCCTCAATGTGGGAAGACGGACAGGATGAGAGACAGGAGACTTTGGCAAGACAATCTGGTCAATGAACCAAGACACATATGTACATTAGAGATTTACATTTAGCTTTTTGCGATGATTTTGCAAGGACTTTGGAATGGATTTAGCATGGATTTGGCACGGATTTGACATAGAACTGGCATGGGTTTTAGCATGGATTTAGCAGAATAAAAGCATTGCTTTCATTGTACCAAACCTGACTGGAACAATCAAATTGTGACTTATGAAGGCTTCTTAAAGGCATAGCGCGTTTTCAATGTCGCAGAGGAACTTGGTAGATTGAGAATTGTACAAACTTTAATGTCCCAAAGCTTCCGTGGACATTGAAGCTCTGCATCAGATCATTGTACCAGACGTCTTGGAACATTCAAAGCCATAGATCTCCTTGTCCCAAAGGTCCCAGTACATTGAAGCCCTATATTAGATCCATTGTACGAGAAGTTCTAGTAATCTTACATTTAGAATGGTACAGATCTCAATGTCTCAAAGCTTCCGTGGACATTAAAGCTCTATATCAGATTATTATACCAGACGTCTTGAAATATTCAAATTTATAGATCTCCTTGTCCCAGAGTGCCGAGTATATTGAAGCCCTATATTAGACTTATTATACGAGAAGTTCTAGTACATTAAGAATGGTACAGATCTCATTTCCCCAAAGCTTCCATGTACAATTTGAGTTCCGTGTTATAGAATTGCACAAATCTCATTGTTCCAAGACTTCCTTGAACATTCAAGCTTCGTAAATCAGATCATTGTACCAGAGGCTCTAGAACATTCAGCCTCACTCACCCTCACTACTCCCGGATACCCGGTAAAATCTTACATTGAACCTGACTCGATATTTTTAGTCTCGTTTGATATCGGTTCAATATGATCCAACCCCAGCTTCGTGTATCCGAATCAACCCAAGCTGGGCTCATTGTTCTGCAACGCTCTGGGAAAATTAAAATCCACCTCTTACAAAAATCGCGCAAAACCACACAATACGGGCGTCTGGACGTGGCATTGCAGCGAGGCAATGACACTAATGTATCATAAGTATCAGCTGTTTTGAGGACAATTGGAGCCGTCGGGGAGGGAAGGGGAGGAGCGGCGGGGAGGGGCGGAGGGAACTCAGGGAAGGGGCGGAGGGATGGGGGTTTTCCGACGAGGCTCTCTAGATTGTGGAGGTGGCGTGGGCGATTGGGCCGTGATGCATTCTATGCATGGATGCCTCACGCCTCGTTGGTGCCCAACCCCTCCACACTAATCGAGAGCAGTGATGAGGGGACGAGGCTGTGAAGTATACTTTCTGAAATTTTAGCGTCTGCGAAGGGACGAGACGAGGCTGGGCGGGTCTCGATGCTTTGAGTAAGTCAGATTTAGGGTGGGTCCGGGTATCCGTTCCGCTGCGGCCAGGGTTGTACTGCACCTCGCTAAAAATAAGAGAACAAGTAAAGGCCTACTCTTCTAAGCTATATTAATTTACTAAATCTTTATATACTTGTAATATAAAAGGCAAATTAATAGAGTATAAGAGGATATAGATCTTTTATTATCGTATTAAAACTTATTAATGTTTGAAGTTGAGAGAAAAAGTATAGCGGGGTACAACCCTGGCCGCAGCGGAACGGATATCTGTGGATATTTAAGAGCTTGACGGGTATTTACCCTCTAAGAGTTGTCTAGGTACGGGTTAAACCGTTAGATTCCCGGGTAATTTTATACAAGGGTTATGTATAGATTTATACACGTAGAGCATAACTCTCTACTCGATTTTTATCCTTGATTTTATAAGTCTCTTAGTAGAAGGATAGGCTAGTACTTTAATCAGCTCCCAAGCTGATTTACTATTTTCCGCGTCCAGTGCCGGGTTTCCGGATATCTACCCGGTGACCCTTCATTTCCTGGATATCCACCCATCCAGATTTCCATGAGTTGAATAACCGCCATCGTAGGCTCTGGGTACTACCCGGGTTACCCGACGCCCAAGTCTGGAATGAATGTATAGATTGACATTGACATTGACATGAAGCTAGGGCGAGGTATCTACATATACAAACTCGCAACAGCAGTAATATCCCTCTTAATCATCTCCTGACACGTCTGCATCTTCGTAAACAGCTCCGGATCCCCAATAATCCTCGCCGCATTCTTGACTTCTCGACACGTCTCATCTAGCCTCGTAATTACTCTAACAATCGTGCCCTCAAGGACGTCCGTCAAGTCCGTGATGTTCTTGAAGCTCATTCCGCGCGCCCATTCATAGACGACTTCCATGAGTCCGAACCGCGGACGGGAGACAAAGTCGTTGGAATCGTCCGAGGAGAGGATCACTTGGTGGTAGGTCTGGCGCTCGTTTACCTTCTCGGAGATCTCGATGATGGCTTTCATCCCTTTTTCGAGATTCCCGGTGAGGTTGGGTACCATGTCTGTCTTTTCTTGGAAGACGAAGGCGGAGAGGAGGGCCACGATTTCGGCAGGGTCGTAGGCTGCGAGGACGTTGTCGAGGACGAGCTCAGTGAGGACGAGCTCGTCGGCCGAGTGGATCTCGCAGGCTACTTTCCCTTTCAGTTGCACGCGGGAGCTGTCGTCGATGAAGTCGAGGTCTTGGAGGACTTGGAGGCGTTGCTCGTAGTCGGGGAGGAGTTGGAGGTTTTGGTCGGACATGAGTTGGCGGAGTTGAGAGATGTTTTCTTTGATAAGCCATTGATCATGACACATGGCGAACTAGAGATACTCAGTATTGCGTTTCTGGAAGAGGAAAGGGTATTTCTTCAATGTTCCAAGTACTTCTGAACATTGAATTTGATGCTCGACTTAGTTGTACGAGGCACTCTTGGACATCGAGTTGGGATGAGAACTTACATGTTTAACGAACTGTGGGCACTTCAAGCACTCGACTTTCTGTGCCGTTTTCATCTCTTCCAGGCGCCCAGCGATAAGATCTCTTAGCTGAAGATCCTTGACCCGAGACATATCCATTTCATTCCATTCGTCTGATGTCCATGACTGGCAAACCTTCCATAGTTGATCTCGAGCCTTCTGATGCTCTTCCCCTCCAGTGAATATTTCAGGAATTACCCCTTTGAAGACAGTTTGTGTAACGCATCTAAACCAGTCAGCTTTGTACCGAAATTCCAAGGGCATTCGAAAGAGGAGAAATCTTGAGTGTGCCGAGGCCTTAGGAACATTCGAGTGGGCGAGATTTCAAATGTACATAGTCTTTGGGACGTCGGGACTTGTGGAGGGCTTGAACTGAATGTCGCATAATTTGTGGGAGACCCGGAACGAGGAATTAGAGATTGAACTTACACTATGTCGGATACTGGTATGTGGAGTGCCTTCGTGACGATCGATTTCTTATGTTGAAGAGGTAGGCGCGTAAACAAGCCTCTGAACTTCGGCAAGTACGGGAGCAGGTCGGTAGAATCTCTTTGGTCTCTGCGAGTTTTGATCTCCAATACGTGGACAGTAGGAGCAGGCCCGCTGGTGGCACCTTCTCGGAGAAGTATACCAGGAGTCCGGATACCGTCTCTTGTGTAGACGACTAGTCGTTTGGGTGAGAACATGCGTCGTCCGACAGGGGTGGCCAGTAGTCCGAGATGGAGATCCAGAGTCAATTGCTTGTAGTTCTGTGCTGCCTGGTGGCATGCATCGAGGTCGTTATCGCAGGTGTCACAGGCCTCACGTTTGATTTTGGCCAAATCTGCTTCGGAAACCTTGACAGCTTTTTCGTGTTCTGGTAGCAGTTGCTGGGTAGCATGCTCACTGAAACTTCGTTTGATCATCTCTTCGATCTTGAGTGCCTCTACGCGGAGAAGGTTGAGAATCATGTTGTACGTCAATCTGAACTGCGAGCGCAGCTTGGAGGGGTCTCCGAGAATCATCTGCCGCAGTTCAGTCACAGGGGGTGCCTCACCGCCGCCTGGAGCAACGATAATGACTGATCCAACTGTATCTAAACCACGACGACCAGCTCTACCAGCCATCTGGGTGTATTCTCCTGGCAACAGATTTCGGAATGAATGACCGTCGTGCTTTCGATATCCGGAGAAGACAACGGTTCGAGTTGGTAAGTTCAGGCCCATAGCAAAAGTCTCCGTTGCAAAGAGGACCTTCACCAATGTTTGGGCGAAGAGCATCTCGACAACTTCCTTCACAATTGGAAGCAGGCCGCCGTGATGAACGGCAATACCTCGGCCAAGAAGATCTCGGAGGCGTACAATCTGCGGAAGTACGCGATCTTCTGGCTTCAGTCTTGCAATCGACTTTTCGATGATCATGTGGATTGCACTCTTCTCCGTGGCGGTGCAGAAGTCCTGGTTGCTGAGTGCATCTGCATTCTCCTCGCACCGCTTCTTGGAGAAGACGAAGATACAAGCAGGAAGTAAACTCTCCTTCTTGAGATACTGCACGAGATGGACCCAGAGAGTCTTGTCCTGAGCTGCAGAAGTTCGACCACCCGGTCTACCTCCCCTCCCCATATGGCCAGGATTATGGCTGGCTCTGGGAGGTCCTCCGCGCCCTCGCTGTTGTGCCCCACCTCGTTGTTGACCGCCTCCCCTTTGGTTTCCGCCACGTTGGTTGTTACCTCTTCCACCTCTAGCATTGCCACCTCCGCGAGCATTGGCCTCTGGCGCTGGCAGTGTCTTTTGCTTATCCCGGCCAGAGAGTATGTCATTTGCATCCTTCCAGCCTTTTTCGATAAACCTCTTTTCCGAATCCACAATCTTGTGAATTCCCTTGTCCGCCCACAAATAATGCTCCAAGGGCACAGGTCGTTTCGGTGTTGATATAACATAGATATCTTTCCTCTTCGTTCGTCCAACCCAGGAAGCAAACTCGTAGGTATTGGGGACTGTGGCAGAGAGGAGAATTAAAGTAACATGCTCTGGTAACATGATGATCACCTCTTCCCAGACCACTCCCCGCTCCAGATCATTAACGTAATGAACTTCGTCGAATATGACGAATTCTACGTCCCGAATAAGATCTGCTCCTCTGTAAAGCATACTTCGAAGAATTTCCGTTGTCATAATCAGACAGCTTGCTTCTGGGTTGATCTGTACATCACCAGTGAGAATACCAACTTCGTCGAAGACTTGTCTGAAGTCCCGGAACTTCTGATTGCTCAATGCCTTGATCGGTGAAGTGTATATGGCCTTCGTCATATGCTTGGCTGCTAGAGCAATTGCATATTCAGCCACGACCGTCTTTCCAGCCGAAGTGTGTGCTGCAACGAAGACCGAGTCGCCATTCTCAAGATGATAGACTGCTTCTTTCTGAAATGTGTCCAGCTCGAAAGGCCACTCTCTCGCCATATCCGGAACTAATTCCCTGAAATTCGTGATATCCCTCTTAACGTCAACCATGTGAGCCCACTCCCTCCCACCTCTCTTCGCACTCGAAGACGCAAGTACTCCATGAGGTTCCAAAGCGGGGAATTCGACGGGCAGTAACGAGTCAATATCATCCTCCCCATCTTCCTCTGAGGCATCTCCCGAGTCAGCTCCATTAGCACCATTCTCCTTCGCTCCATCCTGCGTCAATTCATCCTCAGGCTCCTCATCCAGCACATTCTCCAGCTCCTCCGCCTCTTTGACATCACTCTCATCCTTTCTCTTCTTCCCAAAATCCAACCCCCTCTCAAACCCCGGCGGAACCTCCAGTAACCCCCCCTCTCCACTAAAATTTATCACCCTCTCCAACCTGCTCTTCCCACCCTGCTCCTTTGCCTCACTTCTTATAGCCTGTTCCTCAAGTGCCGCTGCAGCCTCCACACCCTCCAACCCTCCCGGCGCAAAAGGGAAGAAGCCCGCCGCTCCACGCACGAAGTCCGCTCTGTTGGCTGGTTTGCGCAGGAACGAGGTGCTGTTTTTGGCGGTGGCGCTGTTCGCGGGGACCGTTACCTCTTTGTAACCTGTCACGCGCCCCTCGAGGCCTTCGCGCGTGAAGCGGGTTATGGTTCGGGTTTGGGTTGGGGCAATCTTGAAGAGTGTTGTGTAGTCGGTGGGGGCCTCCCATCTCCTGTGCAACCACGGACAGATTAGCATGCGGGTGTACCAAGAGGGGGTGGAACAATTACTGCTGCAGCTTGTTCAGCCATTCTGGGGAGAAGGAGGTTGAGGGCGTGAGGTATTTCTCTTCTAGCTGGAGCTTGAGAGCTTGCGGGTCTTGCTTGACCCGTTTGCGGGGCCGCTGGGAGTCGAGGATGTTGTCAATCCAGTCATCTGCTGTGTTGTCCGATGCACTGGCAGACAGCCGTATATTCTCGAGAGTAGTGACTAGAGAGTCCGCCATGGCGTGGTGGTTGACAATTTGGCATCAGCCTTGTAGGAAGGCTGATGTGGGTTTTGACATGAATGTTGACTTCATGAAATTACGCGAGGCTGCACTTTTTACCCCACCAGCGCCAAATATCAATTGCCCCAGCATCATTTCGTACAATACAAACAAATGTACGAAGATAGGATGGATCATTGGGAATGCTTTTGCCGTTTAGCATCTGTGCAATTACGCCAATACCCCACCCACTCGATGCAACCAAACAGCAAACGCCAGAACCCCTTGATCACCACATGTCACCCATATCCATCTCTGCCATAGCCTCCATCTCGTCGTCACCAATATCCTGAGTTACTGCGGTAACTGGTTTTTCTACTGCAACCGAACGCTGAGTATCTCGTTGTAAAGCCTCCTCGTCGAAGTCTGCCATCAACGCATCAAGCTCATCCTCATCCGGACCATTTTCGACAACCGTCTTTGCAGGTCCAAAAATGCTCTGCGTACCCCCACCAAACAGAGAATCAGTTTGAGAAACAGGCTCCTCCGCAGGTTGTTGTCTTCTCGGTCTCGGCGTAGCATCATAAATATCATCATCGATATCCGCTCCAGCATTTGCAACTGGTGTCTTTGGCCTCTCACTCGACCTCTTCTCGAATATAGGTGCAACTCTCGGAGCAGTCTTCTCTCGTTCACCATCTTCTCTTGCTGGGAGCACGGGCTCGTCAAATAGGGAACCCTCGTGAACGGACGACTGAGGTTTGCCTTCATTGATCCATTCCATTCTCATCATTTGTAAGCGTTTCTTGTGTCCTGTTTTCTCGACCATTGCTAGAGCGTCCAGGAACCTGGCTTTGGGGAAGAGATCGTCGAGCCAGAGTTGGTAGAAGGAGAGTAGTCTGGAGGCATCGGAGTACTAAAATCGTTAGCAAGAGCTTTGGTGAAGAGTTGTGGAAACACACTTCATGGCCTTTCCCCTTGAACTTCAGATGGTGCTTTGCCTTGGCCCGTAACTTCGGGATACCATTTGCTGAAAGGAGTCTGATTTCTGTCAGTCCAGCCATTGAAAATTAAAACAATGCCCATACCTGTCCTCGTCAAGCTTCACCCGTGGAGCTCTTGGTGCCCGTGTGATTTCAAGTTTCTTGTCGATTCCCAGGTCAGCATCAGCTTTTGCTTTAGCTGCCGCCTCTTTCGCCCTCTCCTTGCTGCCAGGAACCACGTAGTTTTCGCTGAAAGGATCATTGATATCGTCTACGTCGTAATTGAAGAGGTCGTCCAATTCGTCTCCGCCTGCTGTAGGTCCATCGGCGGGGAGAGGTCTCGACGTATCTGACGAAGGCATCTTGAGTTTTCAAAATTTAGGAAACTGCAAATTTTCCAAGCTAGTCCAAGTATTCAAGTCGAAACCCAAACCGCCTGAAAATCGTTGAAAATCGTAGTTAGGAAGTTGCTTGGTCTAGATACACGAGAAGCGCGTCCACCAAACGGGCAACGCGATTGCGGCATTGGCCGCCTCTGCTCTCCGTATCGAAATCACACTAGCGCTAATCGGCTCCGCAACGACATTCGAGACGCAGACCCCAATTGGAATCACGAACTGCAATTGGGACAGCAATTGGAGCGTCAAGATGTCGAACACTGAGCAGCGGCCCTATGTGCCAGCAAAGGCGGTCCCTACTGACTATCCCGTACGCCTCTCCATCTCCCATTCAATTGGTAGCTAACAACCGCCTCATAGCTCATCGACTCTGATCCGTAAGCTCCCTTCGATTCCAGGATGAAAGATGATAGCTTGGAAGGAGGATATTAATATTCTGCAGACATTTCAAGAGAGTCGTTGCCTATGCTCGTCCCGGGGATTACGCCTTTGGAGCTGCGGCGGCGGCAGCTGGACCAGGCCTAATGTTAACGTGGGAGAAATTCGCTCCGTCATATGTGGGCAAGGGTGGATTTGCGCCGATTATGCGACTCACGGGTGTGATTGGGCTTGGCGCTGGGTTTTTGATGTTCTATCAGCGGTCGATTTGTGTGTTTCCCCTTGTCATCTTCGCCATCTTCCCTCCAACGAGTTTGGATCACGGCTGATATGTCGGGGCTTATAGTGCGCTTCTACGGCTTCACAGAAAACAAGAGAGAGGTCGAGATGGACATGAAGGAGATGGTGGCCAAAGTCAAGAAGGGAGAGCCGCTATACGGAACCAGCACAACGACACCATATGTGCAGGGCATGGCGGCCAGAAACTCGAGATATTCGGGTCTGTTTCTGCATGTTATTCCGTGGTTCAATTTTGTGAATCACAATCAGCATGGCGTGGATACGGCGAAGTATTATCAGCAAGCAGAGAGGGAGTTGGACGCTGAGAGGACGGGAAGAAAACTTTAGATGGGAGAGGGGGAAGAAGGGAATGGTGTTTTGTAAATATGAAATGGGATAGGAATTTGCGTGGTTTAAGATGAGCGGTTTGGGACTTGATGTCCTGTCTTCCGTGCTCTTGCCAGCGACCTGTATCTCTGGTTGCGTCCTACTGCCCTGCCTATGAGCCCTCTGCTCTGAGCTCCTCCGGCTCCTCATAACTTGGTCCAGCATGATCTCTAGGATCTCTCCTCACTAAAAGCTTCCTCTCAACTTCTCTCAGCTTTCAACCACCCTTCTTCTTCCCCTCCACCAAAGGCTCAACATCCATCTTCACAACCCTCTCCTCCTTCCCCCTCCTCCTTGGCTCCGGCGCCCTCCCATTCTCCTGCACATAAAACCTCCTCAGCAACAAAATAGCCTCCTCCCTCAACCAGCCCCCACTAACCTCATAATCATCTTCATGCCTTTTCCTCTCTCCTCCCTTTTCCGCACCATCTTCCCCGTCCCCTCCTTCGCCTTGCAGCTCAGTCGCACCATTCGCCACATGGACGTTCAAAACTCCCCCACACCCCCCAAACTTCTCATTCCCCGCCCCAAAAAACACTCTTCGAATACCGAACTGCCGAAGAAGACTGGCACACATAATGCATGGCTCTACCGTAACATATAAATCACATTCCTTCAACACCTTGGATCCATACTTCTTCTTCCCTTCTGGGTCGGTTGAAGAGAAGATGTCAGAGATAGCGATAAACTCCGCATGTCTGGTGCCGTTGTAAGATGCGTTTGTGGCGTTCATCCCGCGGCCTATGATGGTGTTTTGGTGGACGAAGATGCATCCTACGGGTGTTTCGTTGGTTGAGAGGGCGAGCTCGGCCTGCGGTCGTTAGTGAGTTGTGAGAGGAGGTGAGGTGGCGTGGAGAGCGGGGTTTATATAGGGGGGGATGAAAAGGGAGTGGTTGAGGGGGGAGGCGGGTTACCATTGCTAGGGCTTCACGCATGAATGCGAGGTGGGTTTGACGTTCTTCTTCATTCAATTTTGAGGTTTCAGTGTTTGGCAATACAGGTGAGGAGGGTAAAGAGGAGGTTTGCGGAGGGTGGGGATTCATGGTGTTGAGATTTCTGTGGAGTAGTAAAAATTGGAAGATTGACTTGATGTGAAAGGCTGCCAGATGTTATCGAAGATGGAGAAGAAATGGCGTTTTAGAATAGATCAAAGAGCCTTCTTAAGGTGATTGAAAGTGAGGTGTACTTGAAGTTTAGTATGAGCTTTGGAGGGAGGTCTTCCCTTGAGAGTTGAATATGAGGTGTGAGTCACGTGCGTTACACAGCCTTTGCTACTGCTTAAAATAAACTCTTCAGTATGAATTCACAACAAAGCTCTCTTTCTGAAAATGAATCAAGTGTTTTGAAGTGTGTTTTTTGAGGACCGTATGAAAAGCTTTCAGGAGCCAGATATCCCATCAGAATCAGAGGTGACAAACACGTGATTCAGTATCTTCCAATGTCCTCCGCCTCGGGGAGTAACCTCGAGAAGGGGGACAGAAACCTCCATATACTCCCCGGTATCTCCCTGCGAAATGCAACAAAATCTCAACAATTCCCTTCTTACTTCTAGTTTTTCACTTTCTCCTCTGGTTTGTTCCCAATGGAACCGATGCCATCACGTGACGTAAAAAGGAGTTCTTAGAATTCAGACAGCAGAAAGGCAGAGAAGAAGAATTTTGTTGGACTTAGTATGCCATCATTACCCCCAGCAGTCTAATATCTAAGCCCAGACTTTCACAGAGAACCTTGAACAAACTGGGCACGTGATCTCGAATCTTGTGTGGGCCGCAATCTTCGATCCTGGAACTTCATCCGCCCTCCCAGAATCCAGACTCATCCAAGATCACGAATCTCTCTCGATTGTCATTCCCCTCTGCACTTCCGTACTCCGTAACAGATTTAATCCCCCCTCAGGCTTCCCCGCCTCCAATCTCCCACTCCTCCATGAATCCTCCTCTTCCACAATTAAAAAAACTACAAAAATAAAACCAGGTTTCATCTATCCTCTTCACAAACTTTAAGAAATTTCCATTCTCTATTTTAAATTTCGAACATTCTATTCTATTTCAATGCTTCCTTCGCCCCTTTCCCCTCCCCCCTGAGAAGTGTATTTTCTAGGGAGATGGAGGGGAGATTTACCCCTTACCCTTGCATCTGCATCGAGCTTCAATCTGCGCCACCATCTCGGGCCACCGCCTTGATCCACGGTCCGAAACGTGCGACCTAGAAGGCCGTGCGAGTCTCGCCCCCATTGCCAATTCTGATTTTATCCGCAGCCTAATTCGGAAGAAGAGAAAGACTTGCTTTTTAAATAATTCGATGTGGAATGTGTGTGTATCTTCATGTGAGTCTAGATCTGGAGATCGGCTTTGCAGGTGAAAGAAGGGGATTCGGATTTGCATTTGCACGACGAAGGCTGATGATGACTGATGATCCTTCTCCGAGTTTCCTGCCTTGTAAGGTTACGGAGATGTGTGTTGGTTGGAGGCGGAGGGAGCAAACAAATCAATTCAAGTGGCACAACCCAAAATATTACCAAATGCACGTCAGATCCTCATCGTGTCGCCCCAATCCAACATCACTCCAGCCTACCTATCTCGTGTGCTGGATTCGCGCCGTGGAGGCGGAGCGGCTGGAGTGCAACTGCAACTCTTCCTCTTCATGCACAATCCAGCTCCGCCTTTTCCTTTCAGCGCTTCCGCTGCAGACAGAAAAACACATATTAATGTTGTAATTTGTGGTTTGTTGGTCGGCTTCTGGCAACAGCCGAGCCGGTTTGTATATTGGATTTTGATTTTTGGGACGGGGGGAATGCGGAATCTCGGTGTTATTAGGGTTTGAAACACGGTGGAAATCTTCTTCTCTAATCTATTGAAGTTTTCTTTCGGTATGTGATGCATGCAATTCGATGGTTTGTATTGTGATGTGAGGTATGTTCGACTTTACGTGACAGGACGGGAGTTGAGAGTCATGTTCGCGAGGCGGCCGGTTTTCTGACTGTATTACTGTATGAGAAAGACGAGGTGAGGCGACGTGCAAGGTAAGATGAAGATTGCCTCGAACGCAGGAAAAAGTTTATTGCCGTGCCTCGACACAATTATGCCGTAGAAGAGGCAAGGCAAAGGTAATTGTGTTTCTGATCTGATGTGAGGGGAATGTCTTCTGCTTATTTGAATGTCTCGCTGCAAGGAGGCACCAGGAGGAAAGGGATGGAAAAAGGATGTCTTGGTGGCGAGCTGGCTTGAGGCAGCGCTGGTGCTGGTGAAGATGGCTGAAGTCAGGGCTGCAGCTGGCCCGTGGCTGCTGGAGCCAAGATGCAACCCAAGACAAATTGAGCACACGAGGTTACCACCACAATTTCCATCCAGAACTGAAGTTCTAACGCCAATTTCAGCAGGTTGATGAGGTTGTACTGAAGTAGCAGGTTCTGTACGAGTTGCAGTCTCTATGATACGAACGAAGTGCGGGGGGTGCCAAATGAACATCTCCCGATCGAGCCGGCCACGCTGACACTCCGAGATCAACAGGGGCCCCTATTTTTGCGTGAACTGTACTAAGTAGGGAGTACGAAGTATGGACCCAGATGGGTACGTATTCGCAGCTGGTGTAACAAATCAATTGTGGTGCGATGGGCGGGTGAAACACCAAGACGGAGTCGAGTCGTTTGATTCGGTTCTGTGTTCCACGAGTGGTGATCCTGATGGGCCCTCCCTCACACGCCGTCTGAGCATGAATGCCTTTGGCGGCGTTTGACTCGATGGATGAAGCCCCCTCCTCCCCCGTGTGGGTCGGATACAGCAAATGCAGTGCACATACTCCGTACTCCGAACGAAAGGGGGCTGCGGAAGGAGTTGCGTTGCGAACTGACGAGCACGCCGTCAAGCGGCCAAACTCAGGGGCCTGGCTCAGGCTAATAATAATTGCGTGGAACCCTTGCTGCCCTTGCTGTGCTTAGCGTGCCTCCCAAAGCGGCATAGCGCGTCTTTCGTCAGCCCGAAAGCGAAACCGTGTCCTTTTTATAAAGACAGATCATCCTCCCCAATTCCTCGAGTCCATTCACCTTCACAACCACCAACCCCAGAACAAACGCGCCCGCTCATTGGGCACCCGGCACACAGCTGCTGCCTTCCATCCTTCCTGACTCATCCACGAAGAAGGCCAGAGTGTCCTGCCGCCATGGCCGAGGCCGTTGTATACATCTATTGAGTGCAAATTCATCTTCCCCCAATACGCACACTCCACGCCACAACCAGCACCACACATCTTGACTCTCGATACCATCAATCCAAGATGTCGAACACAACACACATCAAGTTCGAGCATTCGCCAACTGACAGCCTGGCTGACAGCTTTGTCTCAACTCCAGGCACCATCTACCCGCCACTCTTCAACGACGCCATGGATCCGGCCGAAGCCATGACCCCTCAGTCACACTATGACGAGGACAGCATGTTCGGAGGCTCTATGAATGGAGAAAGCAGCATGGCTGGCACCCCGGCACCCGAGAAGAAGCCTGTTAAGAAGAGGAAGTCTTGGGGCCAACAACTCCCAGAGCCAAAGACCAACCTTCCACCGAGGTACATACTGGACGCGAGGTTCACGATTGTCGATCAATCAGCTAATCCGCTTTCTAGGAAACGCGCAAAGACTGAAGACGAGAAGGAGCAACGACGCGTGGAACGGGTCCTCCGCAACCGTCGTGCAGCTCAATCATCGCGAGAGCGCAAGCGACAAGAAGTCGAGGCCCTCGAGAGCGAGAAGCGTGCCATCGAACGACGAAACGCTGATCTCGAGATGCGCTTGGCCGACATGCAAGCAAAGAACGAACTCCTCATGCGTGAGCTTGAGCAATTTACCGGTGGCATGACTGTCTTTCGGTCCTCGTCAATCGCTTCTACACCAGCACAAGCAGAACTCCGCTCCGCACCAACCCCAGTCACCTTCTCCCAAGAACTCTTCGGCTCCCGAGACGCCCAAGAACGACCTATCAGCAACCAATCCATCATCAAAGCTGAGCCAGCACAAACCGTAAACCCCGCCTCCCTCTCCCCGGAGATCCGCCCTATTGTCGAGTCCGCCAGCGCCAGTTCTTCCGATATGACACAACATCCTGCCGCGATGTTGTGCGACCTGCAGTGTCAGTCGGAAGAACAACGGCCCTGGATGGATTCAATGACAGCCACAACTTCAGCCATCTCTCAAATCTTGGCAATCAACCTCTTCATCAATATGACTTCGGCGGCTATTTCGACGCTCCTGACCCCACTGCGTCAGATCGTCACTTCTTTGAGAATGGGATCGCCCCTATCGCCGACCAATTCGATCTTAACTACGATCATTTGGTTAGCCACGACGACGGCGGCATTGACGACTTCGACCTCGATGACTTCCTCCACCACGACGACCAGCCTGCGCCCGAGATTCACTCTTCGGATTCGCTTGCTGAGACGACTGCTAACCTGCAGCCCCAACTTGGCGCGTCCTCTTTTGGATGCGACGATGGTGGCAATGCGGTTAGCGTCTGAACAGCAGCTCCAAGACTGTCTTTCTAACGCAGATGCGGGTCATTATGGAGGATCGAATTCACCGAGCGTGGAAGTCCTCATGACGTTACTATGGGCCATCACCGTTATAGAGAAGGAACGAGTAGAGAGACAGGAGACCCCAAAGCTGGACGCAGCTGCGGAAGTCAGACAGTCAGAGCTGGAAGAACTGTTCAGACCTAGAGAGATTAGGGGAGACAGGAGGGGATTTTCTTTTGTACCGCATGGAAGGGAAGCCGGAGCGTTGGGCCAAAAGTCTCTGGAGGGTTGGCGTTTGGGTGATCATCCTTGAAATTAGCGTCGGTCATATATTGCCCTTGTACACCAGATGTAACTTGTGACAATAAAACTTGTTGGAGTAATTGCTATTCCTATGCTGTGCCTCGGAAGTGAATTGAACTGTCTAATCTTGAGTTCCTTACAAATTGTGCCTCGCAAGCTGCCAAGATATACATTACACATCCATAACACCTGATTGTCGCTACAACTCCGGATATCACATCCGTCCTCCTCGTCCTTTTGACCCGCACGAGCACCTCACACCACACCACGATTCATCACGCCTTACTATGGTATGTTCACTCCCTGCCTCATCCTCTCGATCCGAAATCTCCCCACTAACTTTCCTCAGCCTCAAACTTTCCCTCTTACCTCAGCTCATCTATCTTTCTCGTCAACCATACCACACCACGAACTTGTTACCACCACTCCCTACCAGCCAAAATGCCTACCCTGCCACCCCTCCCAAACATCCTCCTCGCTCTCACAATCCTTACCGCAACAACTCTCACAGTCCTGGTCATCACACCGCCGAATTCAGATTCAAAAGCAACTTCCTCCACCACCGCAGGCACCAGGACCACAGAAACGAGCACGAAAGGAACGAAGACCCCCCCTGCTCCCCCTTTTCAACCAAAAACTCCACCGAAAACAAAAACGAAAGACAGCATCGCCGTCTTCACATCCCCACTCTTTGTAAACTCTTGTCGACTTGCGGTCATCGGCCTCGGGATACACCACGCGGCCCTCGCCGTCTTTTACCCCTCACCACCTCAGCACATCTGTCTAAAGCAGGAGCATTTGAACCCTTCTCTCTTTACCTGGTCTTGGCGAACGAGTCTTTGCCTCGGCGGAATTTTGATAGCGGCGCCAGTGAGATTACTGGCATTCAAGCAGCTGGGACCGAACTTCACGTTCCAGCTTGCGGTGCCGGGGAAGTTGGTTACGACAGGCCTGTACGTGTTTCTTCTCTACTTATCCTTGACTCCGCATTCCTGTCCTCTATCGAGGTGGAGGGGAGGAATCATACTCAGTTTCGTTCGATCTGCTTGTTTTTAGCTGGCACTCTTTGATTCTTACTATTTACAGTAAACTTTCTCGCCTTGGCTCTCACTCACATTTTCAAAGTTCGCTGACTCATCCACTATTCGATAGGTACAAATTCGTTCAACACCCCTCTTACACCAGCAACATGATCGTCATCCTCTCCAACCTCTACCTTATTGGCAGAGCTGAAGGCGTGTCATCTTGTTGGCTCGCTTGCTGGGTCGCGCATCCTGAGGTGGTGATGTCGATATGGAGAACGATGTGGAACGTCCTGATCGGCGCCGCACTGATCGCCACGTGGATCAGGGTTGAGGATGAGGAATCGATGTTGAAGAAGAGGTTTGGAGCGGAGTGGGAGGACTGGCATCGGAAGACGAAGAGGTTTATTCCCTGGGTTTTTTGAGAGAAGTGAGGAGCCCCGGAGGGAGAACGGAGGAAGGTTAATTTTAGAATACGATTGAGAGGGGGAGTTGATTGGTTCAAAACACCACTAGTTTGGGGACATGAAAATGAATCCAAAGAAACGTGTGAATGGGCGAATTCGGTAAGAATATGAACCACTTAGCTAATATTTTCCCACAGGCGAGTGAGGGTAGGCTACCCCTAAATCCCAGCCATCCCCCCTAGCAGCCCATCGAGGCAAAAATTACTTGCATCGACCAAGCTGGAAAATGCCGAGGAAGAATAAGAGGAAGAATAAGAATAAACAGAATAGCCTCCTCCACCTTGATTGTCCCTCCTGGAAGTCCCCTTGTCTTTGTCCTTGTCCTCCGCGCCGCTCTCCACCTCCACATATCTCTCTCCGTATTCCTTGCTATAACCTTTGCTATATTCCTTTCTGGAATCTTGCCGCCCTTCTGTCCATATTCCCGTCCGCACCCCTCCCCAAACTCTCCACCGTATTCCTTCTCGTACTCTTTTCGTACTCTTCTCTCTCATCTCTTTCGGCCCATATTGCATATTGATGTTGAAATATGTTGAAGCGGAATAGGTTGTTTGGTTATGAGGTTAGTTAGTGTGATGTGTTGGGTTTTGAAGAGGCGATACTTGGATTCTGGAGACTTGGGATTTTTGCGGGAGGATGTTTTGATTTAGAGAAAGGTGGGTGGGGGAATGCAGGGGCTATGTATGATATACGCATTGTTGGATGGTGGATTTGCTGTGTGAATGGAAAGCTTTTTCGGAAGGATGGGGGGCTTGCATGTTGCCCATACTTGAGGTTGTGATGATGTGGTAGTGAACAATCACTTAATCATTATGTAAGGCCATGAGATTGAGATCTCTGAATCCTTGAGAAGGGGGATGATTCGGGAGAGTATGGATAGCGAAAATCGCTTGTAACAAAATCTTCAGTGGTTGGAAAGAGCTTGCTACGGGGTTCACACAACTACTTGAATAGGCTTCATCTCGAGCACTTGACAGAAAGAATTAAATGGAGGCGGCTCATATCATGGAGAATGGCTAAATTAAAGCATTTCCCTACTCCCTCTAACTCCCCGTATCATCCCTCCCGTCCTTCCCCCATTCAGCTCCTCTCAGATAAACTCATCAGATAAACTCATCAAGTAGGAAACATCACATCCAAACTCTCTCCAGATTGATCCCTTTTTCCATATTTATCCATGACGCATCCTTCTCCTCCATTCCCAGCTCCCTCGCTATCCTCACTATCATCCTCACTTCCCCCACCCTCTCCATCTTTCGGGAATTCGTTCTCATCACCGTGGGAAGAATTATAATGTTTTAGGAGTTCTATGCGATCGAAGTAGAGTTGGAAGCAGATATGGCAGAGGTATAAGGGTTGTGTGAGTGGTGGCATTTCTGTGGAATGATGGGCGCGGTGAACTTTCTTGTTTGAGGATGGATATGGGGAAGGACGTTTGTGAATGCTTGAACTAACTTGGGTTCGTACTGAGGGCGTGTTTTCCGATGCGCTGAGGAGTTTTGCACTTTGTACCGGATGAGGTAATAGTAAGTGATACCCGGGATGAGTCTGATGGCGAGGGGAGAGAGATTTGGAGGAAGGGAAAAGGCGGTGATTAAATACTAAAAATCTGAGGTTGTCTTGTGAAATAAGAATATTCAGAGAGTTAATAGGGTTCGGCAATGTTTGAGTTGTCGATGATTCGATGCAGTGATTCGTTGACAAGGGGAAGGAGGGGTTTTGACATACTTGGTGACTTGGCAAATAAACCCATGCCCTGCCTGGATCCACAGACGCTGCAAGACCGGGTACTAACGAATAAGACAACTGGAATTTAAAGTTTTGTGGAGGCGAACGTGCTAGAAACACACTTCAGGGTAGGGTTTTTTTTACTGTATCCTACTGTGCACGGTACACACGAGTAATGACGAGGGAACCAGGGTGTTGACAAGGGGAAGGAGGGTTTTCGAGAGATTGACAAGGGGAACCGGGGTGTTGACAAGGGCAAGGGGGGTTTTTGACAGATTGACAAGGGGAAGGAAGGTTTTCTCGTGCGGTCCCAGCAAACCCTCAGCTCAGCTCTCGGCACCCTTCTTCCTTTCCTTTACAACCCACTGGAGAGTAATATTCCAGCATCAAGGAAGATTCAATTGGCGTTCTCTGCTCACATTTTGTTGTTTCCCAATCGGTTTTTGAAATTCCCTCCGCGATGCATGCTTTGCTGCTGCCGGTCGGGCGGCAGCAGCCCAAGTTTCGCGAAAGGAGGCCACAAGACCAAGTAGTATGAGATGAGGCTCGTTTATTCTGGTCGGCAAGATTTCAATATTTCTTGGACCTTAGTAGAAAAGATCATTGGTAAATTTCATGTGTCCCATCGAGTTGGGAGTGGGGGCGCATCCTCAATCAGCGCTAAGAGCCCCCTGTAACTATTAATGTTGACAGCGGAACCTCCTCTTGTGACAGTCAAGAACCCTGTAGGGTAGGCCGCATTATTTCTTGACTGCTGCTCCATAACCCTCGATTTGCACTCTAAGTCAAACATTGCGAGTCATGACAGCTTCGCTGATAGGCCGCACTTTGCACTGGATCTCAGGATGGCGAACCAGTGACGTCTTGTGTAACCCGACGATTGTAAATGTATTCAAAAATAGCTCACTAGAGCAAAATTGTGACACGGAGTCGAGGGAAGCAGATTGAAGAGAAATCAGAAGAGTACAGAGTGAAGACGAGAAAGACATCCATTGATTTCCACATAATCAGAAATCAACTCCTCATAAATAGAAGCATTCAGAAATATCCACACCACCTCTCACTCCATTCCTTCCGTCATCCCCACTCACCCACAACAACTACCACCTAAGCCATTCCCTCACCTACCAGCCCCTCCCTCCTCGCCTCATTAATAGCCTTCAACTTCGCGGTCCCCAATCCCGCCACCCCCTCCTCCTGATTCGCACCCAACCAAGGCTTCTTACTATCCCCCAACATGGAGCCCGCCAAGAAGTACACAATCAAACCGAGAATAATCAACACAAAAGCAATCGGATATAGATAATAAATCGTGTACCCAAAGACCTTGATCCCGATAATCACCCCCCAGAAATTGCCGGTTAGGAGAGAGATATCGAAGAACGCTGCAGAAGCCATGCGAAGAATGATGGGGGCTAAGGTGTAGAAGATAGTCAAAGCGAGCGTATACCCCACAATATACCCGCCTACCTGCCCATCCCACGTCGCAGAAGCGAACGACGCGCGGTCGAAGATCGCGGCCGTGATGCCGTTGATGATTATGCCAAATAGGCCCAACATACCGAGCACCTCATACATAGGTCTCTTGCTGACAAACCATTCCTCAAAGACGTTAGAGAGGCCGTAGAACGTGGCGCCGGCGAGCCCGAAGAGGTCGCCTTTCAGCTGAGTGGGAGGATTGCCTCCGTTCGAGCCGGTGATGTGGTCGGAGGCTAGAAGCATGCCCATGCCGCCGCAGCAGATCAGGATCCCGGCTATCTGCGCCCATTTGTAGCGTACGCGGAGGAGGGTGAAGGAGACAATCACGACGCATATTATGGACCAGAAGTTGAGGAGTTGGGCGGAGAGGATGTTCTGGGATTGTTATGTTAGTTTGAGAGGGAAGGATGGCGAGGGGGAGGGGAGACGTACGGTGTAGCGGTAGGCAAGGACGGTGAAGTAGTTTCCTTCTACGTCCATGAAGCTCAGGATGATGTATTTCCACCCGTCGACTAGGAGGAGCTTGAGGTATTTCTTCATGCCGTAGCGGTAGATGGTGTAGGTTGTGTAGATTGCGCAGAGCACGATGTAATTGAAGAGGGTCTGGAAAGCTGGGATTGAAGTTCCCTTGTTGACGAGCAGAGAGGAGAACGTGTTGGTAGCCGTGATGCAGAGGGCAAGTACTTGTCTGAATATTCATTAGTCTTGGATCTTGAACTGGGAGAAGGACATACCCAATAAGCAACACCAACCAGAAGTCCTTGGTAGTCAAGTACGCCCACCACACCGTCTTCTTGTTCTCCAACGCCTGGATGGCGTGCTCCAAGACCTCAGGATCAACCTCCCCAGCATTCGTAACAGCTCTCTGGCCTGTCATCTCCACACTCCCGCTGCCATTCCCCTCCAGCCCGTCGCCAGACTTGCGATAGCCCTCGCCATTGCCCACAGCGTAGGTCTCCACACCGGTCGCCTTGCTGGCGGAATTCTTATTCTCCATTTCTCTTTCTCTTTCCTCGCCAATTGCCTCGTCCTCGGAATCTGAATTATATACAAGAAGAAGCGGTTGATTCTGTTCTGAAGCCGTAGTGGTGCGGTAAACTAAAATAGTATGGGTATCTCTTATCGGGCAAAAAATATTCGAAAAAAAATTGATGATGAAGCCTCGTGAAGTCTTTCTTCGTCCCCAAAGGCAGTAAGCGCAAAGACCTCAAGTCGCTCACTGGTGTCGCTATAAGTCTGCAAGGCACATTGACGTGTAGCCGATGTTGTGGAACAGAAGCTTGTGGAGAGGAAGAGGGTGGAAGTGGGAGATGCGATTTTTCATGGGGGGTGGGAAAGCGGGGCTCGAAAAAGTAAGGTTTGCGCAGAGCTGAGAACAGGGGGCGGAATGGGAGCCGATTGGCGAAAGCTACCCTGGCAGCTGCGCGGCGGGCAACCCAAAAAGGAGACACGCAGTGGCGACGGGAATGCCCGAAGAGTAAATTTTTGGAATGGGAGCGGGATGAAGATGTGGCGTTGATCGGTGTGTGCTGTATGGGCGAGTTTTGAGTATGACAATCTGATTGAAGCAGCGTGGGGAAGATAGCGAGGTTGGAACCGACTCGTCAGTTGGGTGTCATTCATATTCGTATTTTGTGGAACGTTGCTCGAGAGGTCAGGTTGGATGAATGGTGAATATCTTCATGTCATTGATTCTCTTGCAATAGACCCGTGTATGCTCGCGCAGGCTGTAAATGCTACCAAACAACGCCGTCCCGATGCAGAGCTTCAGGTATCCATCTCGCTTTCCCAAGTCAAAGGGTGCATATAGACCGAATCTCTCCCTTTTCGTCTGCTCGCCTGAGCATAATACCAGTCTTCCGTTGTCTTTCTTGTCTTCTCTCCAGTCACCCGAGGAACTGCTTCAAATTTCCCCCAATATGTTCCAAGTCCAGCAAAAAGCTGTCATGACCGAACAAACTCACATCCTCTCCAAGCTCAACATGCGTCACGTTCTTATTCCCCGCTCTCCTCAATGTCTCAGCAATCTCCCTCTGCTGCCACGCAGGGAACAAAATATCGCTCTCGACACCCATCACCAGTGCAGGGTGATCTCTCAGAACCTTCAAGCCAAGTACCAAATCTTCAGGCGGTCCCGATGATTGCGAGACTGGCTTGTTTAAATCCGAAGGAGCATTCGACTCGGGCTGTTCCTCGTAAGGGGAATCGGGCAGGGAGAGACTGCATGCAGCAGCATCTGAATCTTTGGCTTGCCCACTTGCAAATCGTTGAGCGTGAGCAGCTCGCCGTGCCGCGCTCGCAGACTGACTCACTGCACCAAGATCAAAAAGATCCATCGCCTTGCTTACATAGAGTAGACTATTGGCGTCGTACTCCAAGCAGAACTTCTCGCCCGCGTGGTCTAGATATGTCTCGATGAGAAAGTCGGGGCACAACGCTGGCTGCTTACTCGGATCTGCCCTCCGTCTCCCAAATCTCTGCTCCCATTCCGGACCCGACCTGTAAGTAACCGTAGCAATTTCTCTCGCGAGCTTCATCCCAGCATGCGGAGGCACACTATCATAGTAAAACCCGCGATTCCACTTCGGATCCATCATCAACACTTGTCTCTGCGTATGCCGCATGGCAATGCTATAAGGATGACTCCTCGCACAGCCCGAAATACTCGCGATCCTGCCAACTCTCTCCGGGAACAAGACGCCGGCCGCCAAACTCTGCATGCCTCCCATACTCGCGCCCACACTCGCATACAACCTCTCAATGCCCAGCCCATCCAGCAGTCGAAATTGTGCCCTCACCATATCCTCCATGGTCAGTATAGGGAACCGCGTAGCGTACCTGTGTCCATCGGCCGGATCAACACTACTCGGCCCCGTACTCCCATAACACCCTCCTATAACATTCGTACAAATCACAAAATATTTGTCCGTATCTAAACATCCGCCGGGGCCGATGAACTTCTCCCACCAGCCCGGCTTCGGATTCGTCTCCGTGGAATGCGCGTGCGAAGAAGCTGAGAGACCAGTGTGTAGCAGGATGACGTTCGATTTGTCCGCGTTGAGTGTGCCCCATGTTTCATATGCTATATTGAATTCCGGGAGCACGCCGCCCCAGTCCAGGAGTAAAGGTTCGTGGCATTGGTAGTTGAGCGTTACGCCGCTGGTGTAGGAGGGTTCTGGACCGCTGGAGAGGGAGCGCGCTTCGAGGGTTGCGGACTTGGATTCGAGGGCGTCGAGGCAGGGGAAGGCCATTGCGGGGTTGGAGGCTTCTGCTAGGCCGGCAGAGGTGTTTTTCCGTGATCCTTGGGTCTGGAATGATCGGGAGGCATTTTGGGATCGCGGTGCTTGGGATAATGGAGGGGCGGCTTTGTGTGAAGAATGTCGAGTCCAGGATCGGGAGATGCTCTTTGAAGGTTTTGCTGCTGTTCGCGCAGCGGCGACGATGCTTCGAGTTGAATTCATGGCGGCCGATACTTGTTGAAAGGAGACTTGATCGTGAGATCAAGATCTCTTGAGGGCGGACAAAAAAGTAGCATCTAGAGCTTTTGTCAGCGATTTCGGTGATGCAAGCCAGGCCCAGGACGCCGATATTGCGTGCTTGGACGTGACTGCAGCAAGGTTCTTTCAGCCACCCGCGTAGCCGAGAGCCCCTGAACATCTCAACCGAGGTTGCTTCCATCTGACGATTACCACTATGGTGTTGAACTTTTGATAGCACATTTGATCTACCATAGGTCGATGGCATATGAATGGACTGTCCGCTTTCTTTGCGTCAGGGGTTTCCATTCTTTATTTTCACCCCCAATAGCTCGCTTCCTGATGTCTGTTGGCGGCTTCCGTATGCTACGGCCAAGTCGAGAGTCTCACGACCTCATGGTGAGGGACACTTGTAAACTATCTTAAACACACTGAACCATCATGGGACCAAATTTTTTGGCCTCGAAGTCTTCGATTTCTGACTCTGGTGAGATTGACTACCCTCCAATTTCTGGCCTCGAATTGCCCTCTCAGCCAATGGTCGATTGGTCCTCCAAGACCATACAAGAGAAAATTGCCCGTCTCATCGAACTTCAAACTTTCCAAGGTACGTGGTCTGGCTCTGAATCTGAAATCTTCAAATTCGTGGTTAGGATGGGGAGAAGGAAGGTGTCGAGAGACAATATGACTTTGATAAGGGAATCTGTGCTACGCCGCTTGTGGTTAAGTGGCTTGAGATTTGCGCGGGTGAGGAAGAGGGTGTTTGTAGCATGGCTGTCGAGAAGGCGAGAGGTTGGCTCGAGGGAAGTGGGGAGATGGGATTGAAGGGTTTGGAGGGGGATGCGGAGAGTGTGGTTAGGGCTTTGTTGGGGAGTAAGGTGTGATCAGATGAGCGAGGCTGGCGGAAGAATAGAGATGAGATTGACGTTGGTTTGACTCCTTTGTGTGGGTTTGAAAAGTGACTGGTGATGGGTTTGAGTTTATTCGGAATGGGGTGAGAGGATCAAGACGGCACTCAGATGGATTCGGTAATCGGCGAAGACAATGGGAATATGATAGGAATGCATGATTTTTCCTTCACCTGTATTCTCAAAAGTCAAAGCTCAGCGTGATTCTGATACATCCTTTCTCCCCTGGTATCTATCTGGCCCTTACCCGACCCAGGCCATTCAGAGTGCTCATGAACAGTACCCTTTCAAACAACACATGCTCAGCAGACTTAGTATGACCAGCCCCGGTAAAGTTCCTATGATAATGCCGACGAATGCTCCTTTCGACGAATCTCGAGCTTCTAGGGTCGGGATCCTGGTGCTATCTCCTGTTGTGGATAGAGACAAACCCTGTATCGGATATGTGAAATATATACAAAGGAAGACGATAGAGAGAATGATGGTTGTTTGAGGGGATGTGAGAGAATGAGATTTTAGGTTTTTGTAGAGATGTTTTGAGAATGATAATTCTAAGGGAAATTGAAATGTCGTTATTGGCTTTCTAGTAGTATAGAATAATTGACGGACCGGGGTAGTGTGATTAAGGGTTATAGGTTTAGAACCATCACCTAAATAAAAACATGTCCTTGAAGTTGTAAGGGCTGCTCAAACGCCTGCTCTTTAATATGACTTTAAACCTGTCCCTCAGCTTCTTTCGCCATCAAACTTCTAACTACTCGACGCCACTGCTTGGAGAAATCCCCTTTCAAGGAAGGACTTCAATCCCGAGACCGTGAACAGCCTTTCCATCAGCTCCAAATAAGGAGTCTGGAGATTGGTAGGGAGAATCCACTAGTCCGTTGTGTCTTTGAGAAATGACTTTGCAAAGATACCCTAGAGTGTTCTGCTATTAGACTCTAGATTCGATATTCTAGGTTAGTGAATAATTCCTCTTCACAGGGGTCTGGAAAACAGCATGCATCATGTAGTAGAAAGGTGGGCTACTGATCAAGTGAGTTTCGCCTCGAGTTGATGCTGAAATTGATTACACATCTTATCTCAAAACAAGTCTATCGACAACTTAAGTGAAGGTCCCCTTGATAAATTTTGTTGCACATCTGATCCAATGTCCGAGGTCAGCCCGGTACATTGAGTTTAATAGTCCTTCCCCTTCCTAGCCAAATGCACAGAAATTTCGCTCGGACTTTTGCACCTGTTTTGACCATTTCACATGATTCGAATCGACCAATTACTATTAAATACTCGACCTTTAGTGTATTTTTCGAACTTCAGGGACATTCAAGTTCTCCGCATGGTGAAATATGGGAGGCTGATTCGTCCAGGTCCAAAACTGTCAGCCTTGCATTAGTGTTGTGACAGCCTTGCCGAGAAACGTCATTTGCCACCTTTCTCTCTCAGGCATCACTCCACAATAACTTGTAAGTCAACCCCATATTTTGCACGAAACCTTCTTTCCTTCACCACCTTACGCATCAATCACATTGAATAAATCTCATCCAAGAACGAACCCCCAATTAAGGAAACTCAAGTCACCACGCACATGTCCGTCTGGAACCTTTTTACAACACTCTCCACTGCACTGTTAGGAACCATGGCCGGGACATCAAATCAATACATACCGTCCCCTGAGGATGTTCTTGTTGTCAAGCAGATCCTGATAAAGAAGGGTAAGCTACCATTAGAATTGGTTGATGCCATTATCGACTCCGCGGATTACTGGGTCAAGACTACGACTTGCAGAACCAACGGGGAGGTCAGCATCCTTTCAGGCCGAGAACGCGAGAACAAGCTCTTGGTGAGTTGGCAACCTCCTGGTGCTCCTTAATATGGTTCTCACATGCTAATAAATTATAGTTGAGATCATATCCCCTTGGCTACTTCCCTACAAAAGAGAATCCCACTGCGTTACCAATGACAATCGTCGACGAATACCCCTCAATACCCTCAGAACCATGGGCCGAGTCTGGTGATTTTCCAATCAATGCCACGGAGGAAGTGATCGATTACTGGTCTCGAGACGCAGTGCCTCGAGGAGAGTTTCCCTGCCGAAAGATAGTCTTCACAATCAAGAGCCACGACCAAGGATGGGGAGGACCCCCTGGTTGCAGAGGCACATATAGGGGCTCTTCGACTTGGTTTGATGTTGGTCTAGAGACCTTGTCCGCTATACGCGACCGTCAGTTACCTCCATTTCATTTAACAGAATCTCTTGCATGGCAGCACTTTCATTCTCGTTCCGATGTTGAGGAGATTATAGGAGAGTTTCATGCAGCCAATAGAGAGAAGCTGCTTCCCTATTTTTACCTTCCAGATCCGCAATCAGCAAACCCGGACGCAGAACCGATCATCTGTACTACACGCACCATATCTCCACGAACAGAAACGCGAACAACCGCCACAGAGCCCCCAGAAACGAAGGTCGAATTCCGTCACGGACCTGACCCGGGCTTGGATTGCTTGCAGAGAAATCGAACAGGAACAAGAGACACGAAGGAACACGTTATCACTTGGTCCTGTACCGATAATGTTATGGACCCTGACTCGATTGATGGAAAGAAACTTGATGGGGAAGGTCGGGGCAGAGCAACTGGCAATGGAGAATATGTGCGGAATCTGAAAGTCGGAGATGTGGTGACGGTGTGGGGAAAGGCGAGATATGGTGGTTGGGTCAATTATGTTGAAGAGGTGAAGATTGATGTTTATTGGGCTGTTTAGGGGAGTGTTTCGCGGACTCGGAGTTATGGCTAGAGCTTGCACTGGGAGTGGGTCGGTGGCAGAGAGCCCCACCTTTCAAGGCCACATTTGCGCTTCTGCGAAAGATATACCCTCGTTAATGACATACTCAAGACATTCGAGTTTGTTCCCGATTCACGCCTCATTTTCAGATATTTCCAGTAAGTGCTGGGTGTGCCAGTCGTCGTCCCCTTCTCATTTTTGCTTTCTTAGTTTGACTGCTCTTCAAATCCTATATTAGATGTCTGCAATCGACATGTCCGCCTGCCAATGCAGATTTGGCACCGGCGAGGAAAGGGATGCATCCTCAAAGTACTTTTGTAAACTTGATTTGCCTTTTTGTCTCAAGCATGAACTTCATGGTACACTACATTCCCCGAATATGGCGTCTGATGATTTCCCGAACCTAGCTCGGCTCTCTCATAAACCCTAGTGTCCAACTCTGCCTTTGGCGAGACAATTGGACCAACATATCCTTGGGTATTTCCACTTTGGACCGACCCGTATTGCTCTTTTTCTCGTCTGCTTTTCCTTAACAAGAGGTAAGCAGCAATGGCAGTAACAAGTATGCATGCAGCTCCAACTCCGAGGCCAACCCCCAGCTTAACCCTCTCCCCGTTATTGCTTGACGATACCGGTGGTATTGCGCTTGAAGATGTTGAAGTGCCGGTGCTCGTTATTGTCGGGTTGCTAGTGTTGCTCGTAGATATCGTAGCGCTCGTGCTTGTGCTTGTGCTCGTGCTCGTGCTCGTGCTCGATACTCCCACCGTCGCCGCTATCGCAACCCGAACGACATTCGACGCGCAACAGGCAGTTGAATTCAAGTCTCCTCCGCAGCACCACGTCCCGTCTGCAACACAAAGGGATACGGCAGCAGTACCATTAGACGAACCGCCACTCTGCTTTGAATCCTCAGCACTTTGTTCGATTTCACTTCAGGTTCAGGACGCTTACAGCCTTATTCGTGCAAACGTTCTTCAAACAATAGGGGCTGCTCCAAGTCGGGTCCGTACACGACTCACGCCAGTATTGGCCACCTGTCGAGTCACCGCAGAAGCCCGAAGTTGCACACGGATTGTGACATAATCCATTGGGGAGACATTGATCTGGGAGTTGGGCGCGGTTCGTTGCGCAGCACATGGAGAATGTTCCTACCGTCGCGACACAAGGTTGGTACTCATTGCTTGTCTCGATCGTGCCATCGGGATAGTAACATGTCGCTGAGGCGAGAGGGGCGAGATACAATATCAACGATTGAAGGAGGAGGAATGAGGTCATCTTGGATGGAAAGTGTGTCAGGCGTAGCGAGGGCCAAGAGACGACGTGCTAAGAATCGAGAGGGAGTATTTAAAGCATCATGGTACTCTTAAATAAAACGTAGCTCGGCCAGGGTATAATCTACACCAAAATGGCCGTGCCAACCTTGCCACGCTACGTTTTATTTAGGGGGGGGCGTAGTAAAGTAGAAGGATCGAAATTGGGCGCAGCAGGGGCTTGGGCGTCCGGGTCAAATCTTCTCGGCAAGCTGCCAATGCATACAACGGCCGATTGTCGAGAAGAAAGGGGCCGGGGGGCAATCACGTGATGTAAAATTAGGTTTACTGCTAGTGCTGGGTCCGTAATGATCACTAAGTACAATCATCGATCCACCACCATCTTACATTTGATTTCTATTTCTAGTGTTTCATCAAGAGGAAATTCGGCTCTGCCAATGGCGCTGGCTAGATCTGCAGGTACGCTTCCAGCGCTCGTCAGCCCACCTTCCTGTTTCAGATAGCGGGGTTGCGGAGCTACTCAGCTAGATGCCTAATCTCTCGGAGTTCCAACCCCAACCTCCAAAGACCGCAACGCCATATTTTTCTCTGTCTGATTACCACTCTTCCAGCATATAGGAACAGTTCTTCAAGCATCCGTCAACAATTTGATCAATTCTATCTTCCGCGATGAAGTGTCTTTTGTGGCTCCAAGCAGTTGCCCAGTTGGCAACTGCCGGAACATCCACCACTCAGATCCCCTTGAGAGAAGATGAATCCGTCTCTGAATTTGCGATCTTTCAAAGTGATGTATCTCCCGATCACTCAATTCGCGTCAAGCGTCAAAATTCCTCACTCTGCGATACGCCTGTCGATCAGTATACCGGCTGGCTTGACGTCGGTCATAAGCATCTCTTCTTCTGGTACTTCAAGAGCGAGGCTGCTACCAAGAGCAGTGGATCAGAGCCGCTTGCTCTCTGGCTTACCGGAGGCCCTGGTGGCTCAAGCATGCTTGGAATGCTCCAGGAATTGGGTCCATGTCTGATCAATGAGCACGGAAATGGCACCGTTTATAACCCGTACGGGTGGAACAAGGAGACGGCATTGGTATTTGTGGATCAACCTGCTGGCGTTGGTTTCTCATATCTCGATGAGGGAGAGCCAATACCAGGTGATTCTTTCACTAGTGCGGCTGATATGCATCTGTTTTTGCAATTGTTCGTCAGCCAGGTTTTCCCGGAACACTCCGAGGGACCACTGGTCATTACGGGGGAAAGCTATGCTGTATGTTCAAGTTCGTTTGCGTTAAACTTCATTGACCTGATATTATAGGGACATTATCTCCCCGCACTTGGTGCTCAGATTGTCAGCCAGAACAATATCTACCCAAAACGGCCTCAGGTACCGTTAAAGTCAGTGGCCATAGGCAATGGCTATGTATCACCATTGGATACAGCGTTTGGGTACTGGGAAACTCTTTGTACGACCAATCCTGGTGTCAAGGAACCAGTCTTCAACAAAACTCGCTGCGAAATCATGGCCACGAACCTTCCTCGATGCCTCGAGGTAGCGAAAGTATGTTACGACCACCCTGATCCTGCCATCTGTGCAGCTGCGTCTACAGTCTGCATGACTGGCGTGATCAACTTCTATGATGGAGAATCCTACGCCGGGGGTCGCAATCGATTTGACAGTAATACCTCCCTACTTCCTCCACAAAACACCATCTCACAACCCTCTCTTTTCTCATCATGAACAACAGCTCATCACCACATAGTCACCGCTCCTTGCGATATTGACAATTTCTGCTACGCGAATACTCAACTCCTTCAAGACTATCTCAATCTAGAGTCCTCTTTCTCCGCTCTCAGCATCCCTAAAGAGATCAAGAACTTCACCGCTGGTTCCGATACCGTCTCACAAGCATTCGAGCTCACCAACGATCTCGCAATTAGCATGATACCTCAAGTACAATATCTCCTAGCCAGCCAAATCGACGTTCTGATCTACCAAGGGAATCTTGATCTCGCGTGCAATACAGCGGGAGCGAAGCGCTGGACGGCAAATATGCCTTGGAAGGGCCAAGCTGCTTTCACGTCGTTGACTTTGAAGCCGTGGAAGAGTGAGAAGGATGGGAAGGAGGTGGTGGCGGGCATGTTCAAGGAGGTTAATGTTAAGATGGTAGATGGGGATGAGAAGACGACAAGGTTTGCGCTTGTGACGATTGATGGATCGGGACATATGGTATGTTGACCAGATTGGAGGTGAGAAAGTGAAATAGTTGCTAACTGGCTGCGCGATAGGTCCCTCAAGATCAGCCTGAGGTAGCATTGGATATGCTCAATAGGTGGTTGAAAGGCAAGTCGTTTGATTAGAAGGCCTATTGATCTCCACCATTCCAGGCATCCTTCTTAATTGGGGATACTGGCGTCAGATTCCATGGATTAGGTCCTTGAAACGTGGTCAGAGGATGAATGGGACGTTGGAGGTGATTTGAATCAGGAGTTTAAAACGAGACGTTTCGTTGACAATAATCCAAAGGGGCTCATTTGCAATATATACGCATAATTTTAATAGAAGAAAGTTCGGACGGCCGAAAAGTAATTTAATATTGAATATTACGTTGATACACCCCAAGAGGCCCTCAAGACATGACGCGCTTTTTTAGACCAAGCCCGACCTCATCTCCAAAGATTACTGATCCTCGTTCATAGAACTCTCACAGCAATCAACACTTTCTTCGCCGCTATGTCGAAATAATCTCCGTGTAGATTAGGTTGTTGGTATGGAGACGGTCCCCGACAGTCATTCGGCCACTAGCGAAGACGCATATAATGATAATACAAATTCCAATGAACGCAAATAATCTGAAAGTAACGATGGAACATATCAGTCTTGCTTAGGACTTTTCCACCGCGTCGGGAAAAAAAGCCAAAAACGTACAGCGCGCAGGGAATCAACTATTTGATAAGAGTGTGGAATAGGAAAAGTCTTCGAGCCGATGGTTGTGGTGGCAGGTACATTCGAGAAGCCGGATGGAGGATAGGCCACCGCGGTGGATGGTCCCAGGGGGATTGTGGGGCCGTAATGCTCTTCGAGAGCGATCTCAAACTCTTCATCTTCTAGGAAGCTTTCTCTCGCTCCAAAGATTTCGTTTTCTGTTTGTGTTGGGGAGGCTGGCTTGTATTTTCTGCGGCGGGTTAGGAAGGGCATTTTGAGAGACAGGTCGGGTTTGTGAGGGACTAGCAGAGTCTCCTCGTAATTGAACTTCAGATAGCTATAGAGACGGAACATGAATACACTCGCTATTATTGGTGGATGGAATAGCAGGTTTCGGGCAGGTTGGAGCAACAAAGACGCGGCGAATCTTCGAAGACAAAAATATATCTTGAGAACTTGAACATTGGGAAAGCCATCACCGCAGCCATTTTGACAAAGAAAGAACCCTAAATGTGGATTATTCAATGCCGACTTCGGCGCCAAATTTTTGAGCAGAGGCAGGAGCTGCGCTTATGAACTCTGAGAATGGTGTTGTATTCGTTTTGGCACGAAATTGACGGATAGCCTCGCCGAAACAGCACAGCTATTTTATTTGAAAATGTACCAAAGCTGTCTCGGACAATCAACATTTTAACTCAGTAACTTTGATTGATAGTTGATGCAAAAGATATACGTGAAGCTCATGATTGGAATGCCGGAAAGAGAGCATTGGGAGACATGGCGATGTACTGTTTGGTAAGCAACTCGCAGGGCAAGTCTTGGCACAGATTCCATGAGAGCAACCACAATTTTGATCAAGAAAGTCTCCAACTTACCTAAAAGAAAAAATTCCTTCCATGCTAGTTGAGAAGAATCTGAACCAAATCTCCCCCAAACTGCCCAATTGAGCCAACATGACGCGCCATCCACCCGCAAGCCCGCGGAATCCCATGAAAACCCCTACAAAAAATCCTACCTTGACCCCACAGATGCCGCAATCGACGCCCAAGCTTAAAACCTCTGCCCTCTCCTAATTCCATTGGCAAAGGCTCATCCGTCCTAGGTCCCCGCAATCTCTCACCAGAGCAGCAGGATCCAGATATGCTCCAACCACCGTCAACTGATAGTGGGGTAATGAAGAACACGAAGTGGGGTTTTGTGGACTCGCATATGCGGATCGAGGAAGTTGGGTGGGCGCGGGAGACGACGATTAGGGAGTTGCCTACCAGGGCTGAGTTTGGCGGGTGTGAATATGAGGTTGTGAATTCCTCTTAATCTTCGACGATGGCAACTTCAGCGAAGATTCTACCTTCATGCTCTCTGATTTTCTGGCACACGCGCCGACTTCGGTATTGAGCAAGAATTTCCGCCTCGAACCCGAAATCTTCTCACACATTCCTGCATCGGGGAAGTATATCTTCCAGGGCTCAATCCCTATTCCTGCAGACGATGAGATGCCTGATAGACCACATATCAAGGAATCGAAGTGGCGGTTTACGCATAAAATGCTTGATCAGGATCCACTGAAGCTCTCGGAAGAAGTCAGAATCACGGATACGAATACCTTTCCGCTCTCCAAGACTGCTTCAGCTGCTCATGTGATCATCAAGCAGCGAGGGATCAGGGATATGCACTGGCATCCTTTTGCAGACGAATGGTCTTTCTTCATCCGCGGTAGCGCGGGAATCATGTTCTTTGTTTCGAGTAGGACCGCCAGGACGTTCAATTATACGTCGGGTGATGAGGGTATTGTACCAAAGAACATGTGACATTACGTTGAGAATACTGGTGAGATGGAAGAAGTGGAGTTCTTGGAGATCTTCAGGGCGCCAAATTTTGCGGACTTTAATTTGGAGTAGTGGTTGGTGAATGTGCTGGGGCGAGTGGTGGTCGAACACTTGTTTAAGGACCACCCGAGTACGGGGAGGAAGTTTATGGAGGGGCTGAGGGCTGCGAAGGAGCCGACGAAGGAGAATCCGAAGTTTTGAAAAGATGTCAATGAGGTGCTATCAACATCAATAAAACTTGCCGATAAGGTGAGGTGTGCCGAAGGATCACTGTATATTCGAGATTAAGACATCGAACGCCGGAGAGAAAAAGAGAGAGATAGAGAGGAGGAAGCTTGCGCTTCCGATTTTCAGATGTAAATTCTTAGCTCACCTAGATTTCTAGTCCCTCTTCGTTAATACCCTCTCTCCCACCAATCCCGATTTTTCTGGCCGTATGTTGCTTGATCTAATAGTTCCAATGATACTAATGCCCATTCGATCACGTTCAAGTGGAGTGTGACCACTAACATTGACACCGCTGAATTCGACATTTCCAGGGTCGCCATTAGAACCCCAAGTGCCATTGACCCTCCTTCTGCCGTCTGAGAGAGTCATTTAATGCAGGTCTCCTTCTGAGCCCAACCGAATCACGTTCTTCCCCCACTCTCTTTCTCTCCAGCGATAACACATGGTGGGATTTTCGGCAGATGGAATATCTTTAGGAACGAGGAACTCTTCGATATCGTCCTTGCACGGATTTACCATACGGTCCTCCGGTTTGTTTGAAAATGGAAGATACCTTTATATGCCCCTCGCCCGAAATCGAAACCGCCATATATCTGCTCCAACTCGGTATTGACTGGAGAATATCTCAGGTGTGTAAAGGTGCATACTGGCCAGAACATCTTGCCATGCGAGGACACTTGATCTCTTAGTGCTGGTTGTGTGCCATTTCTGTTCTTGTCCCTCCTCTGGTTCTCAGTTCGGCTCGTTATCTCCATCATCACTTTCATTCTCATCTTCAACTTCGCTTGCCTCTTCGCTTGCATCTTCACCTCATCCTCTCCCTCTTCGTGTTCATTGTCGATATCGGGGACATATAGCACCAGAGGCCACCCAGCTGCCAAATCCAACTCCTTCAGCCTCTGCTGTCCCTGAATATTCCTCGCGGACCAATAGCCATGACACTTGTTACCGCCGTCTCATAAAATAGCCCCAACCCATCACAAGCTTGATGCAAATGTGCTCTATCGGCTGAACACTGATTCTTCAGCTCAATAGGCGGATATCCCACATCCTTTCCATCTTCGTCCAAGAAAGCATCCCAGAGAGATTGTTCCCAATGTTCTCGGCCACTCGTCTGGTTTGATGATGTGCTCCTTTCTCGAGGGGCTTCGAAGTCGATGGCCATCTGCTTCGGCCTATTCGCTGGTGCTGATCTTGAGCTCCCCTCGCCGCCATCTCCCTTGCCCACAGCCTCCTTATATCGGCCATATATAAACTCCTTCGCCCGTTTGGACATTTCAGATTGCGCCGTAAATCGATCGTAGATACGTTTCTTCGTGCTCTCGGCCTGCTCCTTTCTCTGCGCAAAGGACGCTTCGTATGCTCCCGACGGTCATCTGTCGAATCGCCGCCTGCCTTCCGCTTCCTCGTTCCACTCGCCGCCGCCCTCTGTGCAGCTATCAACTCCCTCTCCGCCTGCCTCACCTCGTCACCAGGACTATCCATCCCGGCACCCCTCAGCCTCTCCTGTAGAGCCGCGACATCGCTCTCTCTTAGCGAGGACTCTCTAAACGCTAATTAAGCTTTCCAGAACTCAATCGGTCTCTCTACGTTGAATTTCGGGTCTGCGTTCCATTTGTGCCCGAATGTAGTGAACCCCTCTGACGAGGGAAACGAGAAGAGGATATTGTTTCGCGTTGTCTGGAAGGTTTGGCCGACTATTGTTGGCTTGGTTCATTTCGTGCCGGTGCCCTCTGATTTTGGTTCTGGAGGGAGGAAAGAGGATGGAATAGTCGAAGTTGTCTTCGGGAGGGAAATTAATTAAAGGTGGGACGCCTCGATGTTGTCAAGGCGATCACGCTCTCACGTGCACGCCCGAGCCCCCTTTTCACTTCGCCAAGTCAACAAAGGGGTTGAAGATATCGCAGTTCAGATGATTCACCCAGAATGGTATGGAAGATATAGTCTCGCAGCTTGCTAGGGGCGCTGGTGACGCAGTCATGCGTATATTGGGGCTTGCTCGACGTGGGTGATCCTCCACGTAAGTATTTCACTGATGCTTACTGAGGCGGCATTTTCAGCATTTTCGGGGATTTCAACTTTCTATACCAATACCCGCCTACTTTCTTGGGAAAGGACCGTCGATGTGTTCCCACAATCATTTCATGAGTGTTGGCCAATGCGGATCCGTCGATTTGACTCGATTTGACGCAGTGCAGTGAGAAGATCGCCATCTCTACCAAGGAAACTTCGTCATCCTCCTAACAGAGAGGTGTCGAGCAAGTCAATATAGCCCTCAGTTTCCCCACTTCCACTATGGCCTCCCAGAATCAAACCTTATCATATCTAAATATTCTTTGATCCTTCAAAATGCATACCCAGGCAGCAGCACCCCGCTACTGAGGCCATTAGCGGGCTAGCGGACAAATCCGAGAAGCGAAAAGTGATTTTCTGATTTTCTGATTTTCTGATTTTCGCACCCACCCTCCTATACCTTACTAAAAAAAAAAAAGTACAGTATATACGCCTTATTCTCGACTACTCCTAACCCCCCCTTAGCTTATATAGTCCGTAAGGCAAATCCCATAGATTATGAGATATATCTCTATCTCCCTTACTCTCTATATCCTCTATATTACCTATATTACTCGAATTATCTATATTTCCTTTATCTCCTTCTCCTCTAGTATCCTTATTCTCCTCTACTATAACCTCCTTCCCTATTATCTTCTGACCTTATATCTGTTTTTATACTCGCTTTCTATATTTTATAGGCGATTAAGGCTTTAGTATAAAGGGTTTTATAGATACGGAGCAAGGCTTTCCAGACTTGGTAGGATTAGTATTAAATTAATAGAAAGTATAGACTTTACTATTATTATTATATCTATAATTTATATAAGTATTATTAAATTCGCCTTTTATAACTATATAGTATTTAAAAGAATTTCTCGGTCTCTTCTTATTACTATAAGTAATATAAGCTTAAGAGAATTCGGTTCTATAAGTATATACTAAGCTTATCTCTAGATTTACCTTACTTTTCTCTAATTCCTTTAGCTTCTTACCCTAGTATAGCTTTATCTCTCTAACTTTAGCCTTATTATTAATTTGCTTTATTACTTTAGTAATATTATCGGGTAATATAAGAAAATTAAAGTATTATTATAGAGAAAAAAGAAGAAGTTATATATAAAGAGGAGATTAAGAAATAGAGAAGTTTATTAGTTAAATATATTAATAGAAAAGAATATTATAAACTAAGTCTGAATTATTAGAGAATATATTATAAATATTATCTTTCTACTTATTTATAGCTTTATTACTTTTTCTATTACTTTTGCCTTTACTAAAACCACTACCTAAAGCCATATTTAATATGTCTTTAATAAAGGAAAGCTTTAATAATAGTATTATATATTGGAATTAAAGTTATTTTTAGAAGAAGATTAAGGTTAAGATTAAGGCTAAAGTTAAAGCTAGTATAGCTATATCTTTATTATTTACTTTTAAGATATAAAGATATATATTTAATATAATTATTTAAATCCGAATAAATTTATAATAAATAATACCTGAAAATAGAAATATTAGTACTTAATAACCCTAGGTTAAGTATATTTAAATATTAAAAAAATTATAATTTTAGGTATTATAGTTATAAAAATAAAAATATAAATATTCTTTCTCTTACTAATTCGTAAAAGCTAAGATATACTAATAATAATTAAACTATACTCGACCCGTATAGTTAGCTAATTTACTTTACTAATTATAAATAATTTAAGGTAATTTAAATCTCCTTAAATCTCTATATATAGCTTATTATATAAACTTCTATATTTCTATATTTAGTAATACTATAATTATAATTTTTAGATAAGAAAAATTCCCTTATTCTAGTATATATAATTATATTTATTTCTTATTTTTCAAATATATAATTATTAAATTAGAAAAGCTTAAGAATTCTAAGTAATACTTTCTCCTAAGAAATATATATTCTTAATAAATAATAAAAGTAAATATAGAATTATATAATAATATAATTACCTCGTACTAGTAACTTTATTTTCTATAAAACTATAACTCTATTTTATCTTTATTCCAAAACCTCTATTCTTCTTCTATATTTTTTTAATTTTACTATTAATACTAAGAGCTTCTATTCTTTACTAATACCTTCTCTATTAATACCTTTATTAATACCTTTATTAATATTTCTATTAATACCAAGAGCTAGTATCTAACTACCTTATAACCTTTCTTTCCTCTTCCTTACTCCTCCTTATTTCTCCTCCTTACTTCTTTTCCGAACCCCTTTTCCAAACTTCTCTTTCTTTAATACTTCTTCTATTAATATTAAGAGCTAGTATCTGACTACTTTATAACCTTCCTCTTCTCCTCCAAATCTCTCCAAACCCCTCCTCCAAATTCCTCCTCCTTTAATACTTCTACTAATAATACTAAAAGCTAATACCTAACTACTACTTCCGGGTTACTTTTATCCAGAATTCCTATACTATAAGTCTTTAACCTACTTGCTCCTTAGAAAGCTAAATTTTAGATCCCTTCTTTCCTTCTCTAATATCTCCTTCTTTTCTTTTCTAATACCTTTTATACCTTTAGGCCCTTTAGGAATACCTTCTCTTAAACTTCCAAAAAAGAAACTAACTCCTATTTAGATTCCTCCGAACTTTAATACCTCCTCCCTTCTTTTAATACTTATAAAAGCCTTTAGGCCACTACTAAGTACCCTAATTCTTTATCTTAGA